ATGATGTCTTCAAAAAGGTGTGTTTTAGGGCCGGCCGAGTGGCGCGATGGTTAAGAACTGGCTTGGGATGCCAGAGGGCCCCGGTTCGGATCCCACATATGAGGGCCAGTGACACTGCCTTCCACAGCTAAGATGCTGAACAACAGCTCAATCTGGAGCTGGGCTGCCGTGAGTCGCTGGCGAGGGCATAGGCTGCAGCCCCTGTGGCAGTGGGTTGCCATGGGCTACCGTGTGTAGCCAGCAGCCAACGTGAGCGGCCAGCAGCCGCAGTGAGCGGCCGTCCAGAAGCCGGCGACTGATCTGCCTCACCCGGGAAGAGCACAATGATGGTGCCAACTTGGGCCAGTGAAACAAGGTCCTCCACAACTAGATTGAAGAACAAAATGACAGCAACTTGTCTGTTCCCCTTTCCCCAATTCCCCAGTACTGTTCCCATCCCCCAATTCCCCAATAAAAATCTTAAAAAAAAAAAAGTGTTTTACAATATCAAATCAAAATCTATAAAGTGAAACTATCACGTTCCACAAAGTAAAGGATAAATAAAATAACCACTTTCAATCTTTCTCATGGCCTCAGTAGTACATAGAATAACAGCACAAATCCAAATGATAGACTGATAGACTGAGAAAATGTTGACTATTTGTGAACACTGATATTCAAACGATACTTTTATGTTTCCGCTTTGCTTTATTACAATTTTGAAGTCCAGTAGTGTTTTGCACAATATACTACTAAAACATGATGAAAAAAGTCAGTAGGTAAGCAACAAAGGTTAGAAAAACAATATACATTAAAGGATATTCTAGATTATCATAAAACGGTAACTTTTTTTCTAGCCTAAAAAAGTACTCTTAAATATACAATAAAATATTAGTTGCTTTGATAACCTGTTCTAAAAACAGAGACATTAAGGGGCTGGCTGAGTGACTCAGTTGGTTAAGCGTTAGCTTAAGAGCGCAAGCTCTAAGCAACAGGGCCACCAGTTTGATTCCCACATGTGCCAGTGACGCTGCGCCTGAGCTGAGCTGCCAAAAGGTGGCAGGATGGCTCAGCTGGTGAGAGCATGTGCTCCTAACAAGACTGCCTGTTCAATGGTGGGCCACACCCACCTGCAACTAAGACTGGACTCCGCACTTTTAGCTGAGCTGCCACCTGGATGGCTCAGTGGATAGAACGCGTGCTCTTAATGGCAAGGCTGCTGGTTCAACTCCCGCATGGGATGGTGGCTACGCCCACCTGCAACTGAGATTGAACACAGACAGCTCCTTGAGCTTAGAGGCCACGAGCTGCCGACGGGCAGCCAGATGGCGACTGGTGCCCTCCACAACTAAGATTGAAAAACAACTTGGCTGGTCCCCCTCCCCAATTAAAAACAAAAACAAAAAAACCCATTAAATATACCATTTCCCCCATGTTCCTATTTTTGGATCTACATAAGCTGTAAAATACTTTATACCTATTATATTGAAATGAGTTAACATATAAAAGATCTTTATAAACAGAGGTCTTCTATAAATCAAAGGTATTATACTATCATTTCAATGAGAAACAGGGTGACAAAATAGCACTATTCCCATTTTATTGATAATGCCTGAACCAGAATGGAGAGCTTAACAAGATTTAGTGTGCTTTGTTTAGGGATTAAGTACCTCTCATCATTAGTTTTCTAATGCAATCATTTAAATTGTATAAAGAACTATATTACAGTAAGGATAAGAACATTAAAAATAAAAAAATCAAGGGCCAGCCAAGTGGCTCTGTTGGTTAAAAGCTCGAGCTCTGAGCAACAGGGTCGCCAGTTCAATTCCCACATGGGCCACTGAGCTGCACGTGAGCTGAGCTGCCAACAGGTGGCAGGATGGCTTAGGTGGTGAGAGCACATGCTCCTAACAACAAGGTTGCTGGTTGGTTAGACTCGATGGTGGGCTATGCCCACCCTCAACTAAGATTGAACATGGCACCTTGAGCTGAGCTGCCAACAGGCAGCTGGATGGCTCAATGATTAGAGCGTGCGCTCTTAGCAACAAGGTTTCTGGTTCGACTCCCGCATGGGATGGTGGGCTATGCCCACCTGCAACTAAGATTGAACACGACACCTTGAGCTGAGTGGCAGTGAGCTGCTGACGGGCGGCCGGCTAGCGAATGGACTTGGAGCTGAGCTAGCTGCGCCCTCCACAGCTAAGACTGAAGGACAACAACTTGGCTGTTCGCCTTCCCCAATTCCCCAACACTGTTCCCCTTCCCCAATTCCACAATAAAATCTTTAAAAAAATAAATAATAAATAAAAAAATAAAAACAATGCCATTAAGAACCTCAATAACTAGAAGGCATCAATCACAAAAACAGGAAAAGAAAATGTTTTGGGGGGAGGGTGTTTACAACAGATTTCAGGATGGTTACAATTTATCAAAAATGTAACAGAAAAATAAACTTCACAAGATCCTACATTCACTGAAGCACTCAGCAAAATATTTGTCAACCAACTTCTATATCAAGCACTGTTGTGATGTTGGGAGTGTGTGTACGTGTGTCGGGGGCTCGTGGTGGTGGTAGTTGATTGGTCAAGGTAGACCTGACTGCTCCATGCAAAAGAAATAGGCAGTGGACAAATCTTAAGACAGAAGAGTAGTGGGAGATGAGGTCAGAGAAATAACAGGGGGAGGAATGCAGGATTACATAGGGCAGCGGTTCTCAACCTGTGGGTCGCGACCCCTTTGGGGGTCGAACAACCCTTTCACAGGTCGCTGGTACTCGTATGTGGGCGTATCTGCATGTGGGCCTGGAGATGGATAAAGGAGCAGTGTCTCGGCTCCTAAGGCCATCGAAAATATGTGTTTTCCGATGGTCTTAGGCGACCCCTGTGAAAGGTTGAGAACCGCTGACATAGGGCCTTCTAGGCCTAAGAACTTTGGACTGAACTCTGAGTGAAATGGGGAAACACTGAAAGGTTTTGAGCAAAGGAGTGACATCATTTATGTTTTAATAGGATCACTCTTGCTGCTGTGTTATAAACAGATGTAGGAGGCCAAGGATAGAATCAGAGAAACCTTTCAGGGGACTTTTGAAGTAAATTACATGAGAGATAATACTGACTTGGATCAGCACAGGATATTATCAGATTCTAGATAAATTTTGAAGGCAATATATTATTGATGAATCATGAATGAGGCCAAAGTTAGAGTAGGAGTACTGAGTAGGTATCCATGGAGATGGGGAAGCTGTGTAGAAAGGTTGAAAGTTTAATTTTGGTCATGTTGAGTTTAAGACGTCTATTAAATATCCAAATGGAGATACTGAGAAGGCAGTTGGATGTAAGAATCTGGAGTTCAGGAGAGAGATATAGGCTAGGGATATAAATTTGGGGACTGTGGGTAGAGAGATGGTATTTAAAGCTACGAGACTGGTGGAGATCACCACGAGAGTGAGTACAGAGAATGCCAAGCACTAGGACGGGGGGCACGCCAACATTAGGAAAAGGGAGACTATGTAGAGGAGACATTGCATGAATACCAGTAAGACATGAGGAAAACCAAGGGAGTGTGGGTTCTTGGAAAACAAGAGAGGAAACTGCATCAAAGAGGGAAAAACCAACTGTGCTAAATGCTGCTGACAGGCCAAGTAATTAGAGAATAGTAACCAGTCATTAGATTTAACAATTTAACCTCATAAATGTCATTGGTGACCTTGACAGAAGCAGTTTTAGTGGAATGGTATGAGGGAAATTCCAAATGGAGGGGGTCTAAGAGTGAAAGGGAGAAGAGGAATTGAAGATAAGTACCGATACTTGTTTCAAGGAGTTTTGCTGCAAGGGGGAAAGAAATGGAATAGTAGTGGCAGGGAAAGTGAAACTGAGGAGAGGATTTTTTATAGGTTATTTCAGGGCATATTTTTGGGTGCTGATGAGAGCAATCCAGTAGAGAACAAGAACTGATGATAAGAGGGGAGAGAGAACTACTGAAATGAAGCCCCTGAGTAAGTTAGGATCCTATCTAGTGGACAGAAGCAAAGAAAACGGATCTGTGGTAACAGGGAGAAGGCAGGTACGGCGGTACAGGTGGCCGACAGGCATGTGGGGGGATGGGAACCTGTGTAAGTTCTTTTTCTTAGTTGAAGAAATATTTTATTTGCTTAAAGTATTATTACATTTTAGGCAACTCTAGTAAGCAACACAGAAAAACAAGTACTGGGAAGGCCGGTTAGCTCAACTGGTTACAGCGCAGTGCTTTTAACACCAAGATAGCGGGTTCGATCCCCACATGGGCTACTGAGTTCCTTCACAACTAGACTGAAACAACTACTTGACTTGGAGCTGATGTGTCCTGGAAATACACACTGTTCCCCAATAAAACAAAATTTTAAAAAATAAGTACTACTGGTCCACAATAATTTGTCTTACTTGACCCACTCGTATTACCCAATGGTGCTTTCTTATCCTAAAGATGCCCATCTGATTTTACATATAAGCAGGCGAGGAAAAACTAAGTATCAGTTAATAGCTCAACACATACAAGGTTCATGAATAAAAATATATTATACACAGGAAAGAGTCAATCAGATTTATTTTTATGCCCTGGTAGAAGCCTCATTAATATGATGAAAAATCACTTCAAGTTTTAGATTCTAGGATAGTGACCATTAAGAGTTTTTCCTCTAAGGAGAGCAGGCTAACATTTCAATGTAAAGTGAGCCGCAGGGGTGGGGGGATAAGATTGATGGTGTTTAAGGGTACAAATTTGTAATGAGTAGTAAATAGTAAATAAACCATAGAGATGTAATGCACAGTATAATGAATATGAACAATATTGTATCATAATTATGCAATGTAATATTGCTATAATGGCAATCATATAAATGTATCAAAGTAACATGCTGTACACATTAAACTTACACAATGTTACATGTCAAATTTATTCAATAAAAAAATAGTGAAATGCACTTTTCACAACAGCAGACTCTTATTTTCCTTATGTGGAGAAATGCAATTTTGAAGGCTACTTACCAACAGTGGTCACAGGAGGCTGGGAAGGGTACTGGGAACTTGTTGTGGTAGGATACTGACCACCAGGTGGGTAAGGACAGCCTGGGTAACCACTAAAGAGAAGAACAGAAAACATGAAACGCTTAGATGACCCAACACTACAGTATCTTTAGGAACCCCACTCAGTAGTTAAGCTTGGCATGTCATTGTTTTACCAGTTAATGACTTCACAGTTTTAGAGCTACAGGTGTCTATTTAAGCAAGGTTCTATAGAAATTCCATTAATGACACTGATTTACTCTCTAAGTGAATGGTTAAAATACTCTTGCTTGGCCCTGGTTATTTGAGGGTCACCTTCACAGCAGCAGAAAGCAAGTAGAGTATTTCTAAGGGAAGTTCAACAGTATCAGAACTGGAAGCAGCAAATATTTTCTGAGAGAACTTTTCCATTCTGATTTCCTAGCATATAGGGAAATGATACTATTTAATTTTTACTATGGTTCATTGATAACCATTATGAATATCTGATCTGAAAATACTCTTTAAATAAAGCTTTAAAAATTTTCTTCTCACGCTATGGAAAGTTTCTGTTATTCATGCATTCATAGCAAAGTTGGAAGAAACTGTCCTCTTAGCTCTTATCCAACATTTTTCCATAAATATCATTTACAATATCCCTGACAAATGGGGAGCATCACCACTCCTGTGCTTTGGAGCCATTATTAAGTAAAATAAGGGCTACCTGAACATAAGCACTGCAATACCACAACAGTCAATCTGAAAACCAAGATGGCTGCTAAGTGACCAATGGGCAGGTAATGGGCAGGGAGCTTACACAGCGTGGATCCACTGGACAAAGGGACGATTCATGCCCTGGGCGAGGTGGAGTGATACGGCGCAGATTTAATCATGGTCCTCAGAATGGTACGCAACTGAAAACTTACGAATTCTTAATCTCTGTAATTACCATTTACTATTTTGGGACTGCATCTGACAGTGGATAATTGAAAGTGCAGAAAGGGAAACCGTGGATGGGGGGAAAACTATTGTATTATTTTCTATCTTTGTAAGTTATTAAGCAATTTGCCCTAACTAGCAAATCCTTTTCAAATTTTTAGAGCTCTTTTTGACCTAAGTGTATTCAAAAAATAATTTTCAACACTTATGTTCCTTTTTCTTCATGTATTCCTTCAAAATTTACTATTTATTATATTGAAGGCACTGTGTCTAAGAGCTTAAGGTGGGAGCTGATAGGAATCCATCTCTTCCTGAAGATACTAACAATCAAAATAAGGCAAGATCCCTATAAACAATGCTGATAGGAAATAACAAACGCTAAACCAAAGTTCAGGAGATGAAAAGTAGAAATCAATACCAGCCTGAGGGGATCAGGAAAGGTTTTTGGGAGAGCTGTAAAATCTATGAAAGTAGCACCTTTATTCTCTTCAATTCCCCTATTCATCACCCTATATGCTCCAGCCAAACTGGAGTGTTTCCCTATTTTTCCCTGGGGTTTTTTTTTTTTGGCTCTCATACCTTTGCTCGTACGTAAAATGAGTGGGCTGCACTTGATAACTGGTAAGTTTCCTCTCAGTTATAAAATGTTATTACTCTTCGCTGTTTCCTCATGTTCTAAACACCTAATTTTCTTCTTTAAGGTATTCCTTATAAACCAGTTCTTACATTTATGGAGCTATCGCCAAGCTCCCACCTCCAAACCAGATGTGGCCTCTCCTTTAAAGCTCTGTTTATTTATCATAGCACTTACCATTTTCTACCTTTTCTGATATCAGGAACTATTTCCTAATAATCTTACTACATGCTTGCTAGCACACATACTCAAACTGGAACAACAATTCTTGATATAACCTTTTGTATGCATGCTGCAGGTGCTACATAAAACCTGGAAAATACCTAAGATTTAGAAGAGACCTTAGAGATCATCTAGTCCAACTTTCAATAGCATGAGTAAAGACTCTCATATTCATTGTTTTAAGATTCTTCTTCAGTCACTGATGTATTAATTCTCCTTTTGGCCAAATGGAAAAGAGTAAGAGGTTCTGAAGCTCTTCTGTCAAGACCTTTTATATACAGAAAGACATAGGTGGCGATTTGGATAGTTATGCTGAACAACTCATTAGCATGTTACATTTTGAGATTAAAAGTTATGGTTTACAGAAAACAAAAATCAAATCTTTAAAAAAAAGCTACCTCAAAAAGGAGCTTCTTACAAATAACCTCACAAAAGACTTATGGTTATGTAAGATAAGTGAATAAGATTTACATTTTTGTCAATATCTTCAGACTTTATTTTTATGTATGAGTTTCTTTAAAATGGCTTTATTGTTAGGAGTTCATTTCCTTATTATACGTCCCACAACCATTTCCTACATGTCCAAAGTTCTTCTTACTAGCAACTATTAACTATAAAGGCTTGTAATTTCAAGGCTTCAGACAGGATTCCATTTCTAGAACTTAATCAGAAAATTAGGGGCCTCAAGAAATCTAAAACTTATATCCCATTTATATAATTGTAGCAGTCTTTCTCTAGTGTCCCTGACAGATGGTCATCAAGTCTCTGCTTACCTTTCTAATGGGACAGAATGCTTCCTATCTAGAAAGCTAGTCCCTGGAATTAAGAAAGGCCCAGAAATAAGTTTGCTAAAATTAACTTATAAGATCCTGCATGTTTTATATATATATAAACCCACATAATTAGTTATGGCAGGTGTTCAGAAAATCCGGCTGCATTTATCTGTTAGGGTTATCTGAAGCTAATAAGAGTTAAACGTTTCTTCTAATTGTTAGAGTACCTGGATGGAAATCTCATCTAGGCACCAGGATATGCCAGTCTAACTGAGCCCAAAGACCACCTCTTGAAAGTACTCCTAGATTACAACTGGAACAAGTAGACATTTAAAACATGGGTTAATAATCATTCCTCATTGATTTTCTAGTGTGTATTATTCATAGACTGATTGCACTATTAATTTACCTGTGTTACGTTATTGGGTAATAAAGATCCATAATACATGTAGTCTATGAATTAAAAAAATAAACAGCATAGGGACAAGACTGACCCCATCAGATGAACCATTAATTTGTTCCCTGAAATTTACAGAAAAAGTTAAGTTTTTTAAAGGGTATTAAAATATTCTTCTCCTTGGTTGAATTCATTACTAGTAGTATTCCATTAACCTTTCAGCTATCTACACTGGATATACAAAGTTCTTAAAAGGGAAGTAGCAAGAATTTCAAGGTCCAAAACCAATCAAGATCATTGTCTGTAAATGGGAAGGAGCTACACTTCTCTAGAACAAAGAAAACTCCCTTTGAACTATGTCCATACCATAAAATTCTACCAATAAACTGAGTTTTACCTTGCATTAAATTGCAATTAAATTTCCTTTAATGCACTAATTAGCATCTAATTTTTTATTCTAAATCTAACAGTAGAATTTCTAATACAAGTATTCAAAAGATAATTTTTCATTACCTGGGATTGGGGGGATATCCGGATGGGAATGGAGAGATTCCACTGGGCATGCCTGGCATGTAGGAAGCTAAAAATAAGTTTTAACATTTTAAAATAATATGCATAGTCCTGGATACATAGGTTTTTCAATAAGATATACATCACTGTCAAACCACAGCAAAATTTCATACCGTTGAAGACTCCAAATCTCAGCACCAAAACAAAACACTCCACCCATATTAGTTCTTTACTTCAAGCATAGTTCTCTGCAGATCACATAATCTCAAAGCATTCAACATGGGTTATGACAACACACATAACAATCCCAACAAGGAATAACTGGCAAATAGGTCAACCTGGTCAGCTCTAGAAGCTCTCAAGGAGTCTCTAACCTGAGACAGGAGCTGGTTTGATTTAGAATTTAGAAGAGAATTCTGCCCTCCTCTGGTCCAAGGTCAGCTTAGAAAGTGACCTCTTGATTATATCTAAGAAATCTTTTGATATTTAACACAGTGTTGACCAATTAGCACAGCTGGTTTTGTTGGCTTGATTGAGGATTTTAAAAGACTTCAAATTACTACGGGAAGTCCTATGCGACTCATATTCAGCTAGACTGGTTAAAAACAAACAAAAGCTTGGAAATACTAAGAAAAAAAGGCTCAAGTACGGCAAGCTTAAAGAATGCTTTACGTATTTTTTAAAGAGAACACCAATGACAGAACTAGTCAGTGTTGCTAAGAGGCTAACCAACACAGAGGAAGAAAAAGAAGTTTATTTTGGCTTTAACTGGAAATGACTTGTCTGAGAATTAACTTATCCTCAGTGAAATTTTTCTTACTGAATTTAATAATAAATTAGCCCTTAATTCAATTAATAAATATTTTAGTGTCTTCTATGTGACAGACGTCAGGAATTGGATGGAAAAAAAAGAATTCCTGGCCTCAAGCCTATAGTGTAGTTGGAAAGAGGAACAAGAAAGGAATAATCATAGAGTGGCAAGTTTTATGTGTTATGACAGGGGAAGTACAGGAGCTGGGTAATCTAAACCTAGGAGGTGGGGGTAAATAAGTGACCTAGAGAAATGGTATATGAAACCTTGAAGGCAACAGAGGTGGAGTCTTCAAGAAATAAACGTTTAGAGAACAGAATGCAAGTAGGTGAGCGAAGTATGCTGGACTCTGATCAAGGGCCTTAGAAGTCTTTACCAGAGGTGCTGAGCATACATCTCCAAGTACCAATGTTCCTACTCTTCTCGTTAAGATGAATCTATCAATGACATAAGTAAATTTTTTCTTAAGTATAATTAAGCTAGGATGATGTTCAATGCTATCTTCAGAAAGGGAAAAAACCTCCCAAAAGGTCAAAATTGCTAGAAAAAAAGATAAAACATTCTTTCCTTTCCAGGGGCGAAGCACAGCTGATCGTTCTGAATATCAAAACATGAGGGCTGGCAGAGTGGCGTGTTGGTTAGCAGTTGGCTTGGGACGCCAGCTCTGAGCAGCAGAGCCCTGGTTCGGATCCCACATGAGGGTCAGTGATACTGCACCCTCTACAGCTAAGATGGTGAACAACAGCTCGACCTGGAGCTGGGCTGCTGGGAGTCGACGGCGCAGGCTACAGTGGGGTTGGCTGGCAGCGGGTGTGAGCTTTCGTGAGCCGCCGTCCAATGGCCGGCGAGTGACTGCCTCACCCAGGAAGAGCACAATGATAATACCAACATGGGCCAGTGAAGCGACGTCCTCGACAACTAGACTGAAGAACAAAAGGACAGCAACTTGTCTGTTCTCCTTCCCCCATTTCCCAATGCTATTCCCCTCAACCCAATTCCCCAATAAAATCTTTTAAAAAAAAATGAGGCCACTATTAAATGTCAGCAACATACACAGTCAATCACTAGGGCCCATGCCAGTTTCACTCTCACACATGTAAACCACCACTTCAGAGTTATAAGCAATTTTCCTGTTCTGAGGTTCTAAAAAGCTAATAATTCCACCGAAGCCTTCAAATTTTTATTTTGGGACAAACAGTAAATATAATTTGGATCCAAGACTGGCAAGAAGTAGAGAATGAGGTGAAATAATTTTAGAGCCAGAATAAAATGGGATACAAACACACATAACATGGGGTTATTATAAGGATTAAATAAGAACGAATATGAAGTGCTTAGCTGTCTCATAGTTACCACTCAATAAATGTTGACTATTACTGTTACTTGTCAAAAAGAGGTTTGAACATAACACTTTTTTAACATGACTCATAGCTAGCTCAAGTCATCCTAAAACAGGATAAAAAATGTTTAAAATAGTGATAATAGAAATATATAATTTCTCAACTAGAAGATAACATTTACTTAAGAATGTATCCACATTTCTGGGCCATTCCTTGGTGTCTGTATGGGGGAATGGGATTCAGACCATTTCTTTACAGTCATACCTAATATTAGCGAACACTTTAAATATATAAAAAGTATTATAACTAGAATGGATGGACAATAAATTGGTCTCTTAGTAATTTACTTAAATTAGCTCTAGGTTATTTAATGTGATTTATATTAAGTACAAAATTGAACTGCCATAGTGATCTCTTTACTGTGGTTTCTTTCTAGAATGCTGAATGTTAATATAAAATTGGAAGAAATTTAAGGAAAAAATGTTGCTCAGGAGACTCCCCAAATTTCTGAAAAGGTTACCTTTATCTTGAGCGTTCACTATGTTATTTGAGCAAATAAACAAGAATGATGAACCAGGAAATATCTGATATTTCAAACTTAAGTGAGCAAGATTATCTAATCTTAAATACTAGAGTTAACAGAACTTGTTAAGATGAAAACAAATTTCTGGTCAAAAAGAATCACTAGAATCTTTATTAAAAGAGCTACTAAATCCTAAAACCAAACTTATTCTGGGAAGGCAGGAAAATTAAAGGGCTCAGAAGGTTATTCCTTGTTTGTGAGTTAAGATGCTCAAGATAGAATGGATTAAAAAGAATAATTTTAGGCAGGAGAAAAATTAAAGCTCAGGTAATCTGACTTATAAGATAAATAAGTCTAGTTAATTATAATCTTAAATAAAATTTGTAAAAAAAAAAAAATCACAGCTCAAAACAATGAAATCAATACAGGCTTAATAAAGTCAAAACAAGTAAGTACAACCAACTCTCAATTAATTATCCAGGGTGATTTTAAAGTAGCAATAAGAATTATTTTTAAAAACCCAGAAATAAGAAATAATGTACACCAATTAGGGGAGGACTGGTACTGACTCCATGCCCCTACCCTCTCCACACAAGGTAAAAGCATGAATTGGCTGTACTAAAGAGAAGAAAGCTGAGAGCTAGATGTCCAATTGTGTATACCCAGAATAGCTGAATGTAAATTTAGTTGACTTTGTAATTGATTCTTATCTATAACACCGATCCTAAAGTTGCAAAGAAAATAAATCAGACTACCTTTCAAATTATATCTGCCTCCAAACTGATCAAATAAGGCTATTCCATGGCATGCATAATTTTTAAAAAACTCAAGCTCTATCCCAGCATTCTTTCTCCATTTTGGAATCCAGCACACCCAGAGTTAGATTTCTACCCACAAACGAAAGCCCAAATGCCAGTCTTTGGTGGGAATCTGTACATGCAGATGTGGGGCCTCAGAATACCTCCAAAAACTCCACTAACTTGATTAGCTAAAAAGCAAAGTGAAGTCATTAAGAACATTTTGTTAAACAAAGTTTTCTGTTGTTTTTTGTTTGTTTGTTTTTATGAGTTTAAAAAGCCAGTCTCAGTTCTACTTACTATTTGGTGGCCCTGTTGCCTGGTATGGTGGATAGGATGCTGACACAGTAGGACGAGAGAAGACTGGCGGTTCATCTCCAAACACCACAATCATAACCTGAATAAGCCCCAACAAGTCTGACTGTGGCTAAAAACAAAACAAATTTAAGACACTAGATTGCTGCACAAAACACACAAATTGTTCAAGGATCTTTCCTTCCAATACCACAATTACAAAGAGAGTGCCTGTTTTCCCATAAAGCTTGCAGTCCTAGTTTACATTCCATGTCATGCTAGATTACTGTCACAGCTTCCTATGTGGATTCCAGGTTTACTTATTATGACTGAAAGAATTTTCTATAAAAGTTCATGCTTTCCCTTCCATAATAGAGTTGTTGCTGAGAATCAGCCGTTTGGACAGGGACTACATTTTCCAGCCCTCCTTGCAACTAGTTTTTTCCAATGGACCATAAGCAGAAATGATTTAACTTATAAGCCAAGATGTGATAGAAGGGGGATGCTCCGTTACCACTCTCTTTTTGCTTGTCTTCCTCGATGCAGAGGAAGTCCTGGGCGATCGTGGCATCACAAATTGGAAAGAGCTTGGGTCCCTGAAGTACCAAGTAGAGGAAAGCTGCCTGCCAATGAGGAACACTCCCAGTGGACTACTACGTGGGCAATAAATTCCTAGTGTTAAGCCTCAAGCATTTTGGGGTTTATGTTTTAGAGCAGCTAGTGATTATTTGTCACAGTTAATTAATGTATTTATCTAGTACATTTCAGACATTATACCTGATAATCATTGCTTTTAATACCCTACACTTGTTCAAAAATCTAAAATGACTTCCAACTGGATCTTTTTCTGGGTTCTTTATTATGTTCCATCTATCTGTTTGAATAGTCCTGTGACAATTCCATACTATTTTAATTACTAGTTTTATAATATATTTTGATATCTGCAGGGTAAGTCCCTTTAGTCTTATTCTTCTTGGAGAGTGCCTTAGCTATCCTCAATCTTTTGCATTTCCATATAAATTTTAGATCCAGCTTATCAAGTTCACAAAATTAATCAACAAATATAGAAATTAAAACTCCTGTTAGGATATAGATCAATTTGAAGAGAACCAACATTTCTGACTCAATACTGAGTTTTCCAATACATGAATAAAGTTCTCTCTCCTTTGACTTAGGTCTTTAATGTCTTTCAATAAAATTTACAATTTTCTCCATGATGGATTTGTACCTTTGTAAGGCTTATTCCTAGGTCAACAGTACTAAAAAAAAAATCAACTGGGGCCGGCCGAGTGGTGCATTGGTTAAGAACTGGCTTGGGACGCCAGAGGGCCCCAGTTCGGATCCCACATATGAGGGCCAGTGACACTGCCCTCCACAGCTAAGATGGTGAACAACAGCTCAACCTGGAGCTGGGCTGCCGTGAGTCACCGGCGATGGCAGGTGGGTTGCCATGGGCTACCGTGTGTAGCTGGCAGCCAGCGTGAGCGGCCAGCAGCCGCAGTGAGCGGCCGTCCAGAAGCCGGCGACTGATCTGCCTTTCCCGGGAAGAGCACAATAATGGTGCCAGCTTGGGCCAGTGAAGCAACATCCTCCACAACTAAACTGAAGAACGAAACAGCAACTTGTCTGTTCTCCTTCCCCTGATTCTCCAATAAAATCTTAAAAAAAAAAAAAAAAAATCAACTATTCATTTACCACTTCATCAATTCTCTATCATGAGTGGAATACAACATGTGACCTTTTGTGTCAGTCCAATCTGCTACTAAAACCATCTATAGAGTTCTTAATTTCTATTATTCTATTTTTCAGTCCTAAGATTTCCACTGGTTCCTTTTCATCAGAATTCTCCATCTTGAACATATTAATCACTATTATTTTCAAGTCTGTGTCTGATAGCTAGGTTACTTGGGTGTGGCAGTGTCCTGCTTCTATTGTCTTTTTTCCTCTCTGTCCTCTTTCTTGATGTACTTGATACTTTTAAATTGTATGCTGGACATATTTTGTGAAAAATTACAGAGGCTCTATGTACTATTTTCCTCTAGCAAAAATAATAATATACTACGAGAAATGACCTTAATATATATAATCAGAGACTGAGCTGATTCAAGGTTGGGGTTTTGTAGGCTTATACCTGTGTTCCTCCAATGGCATCATCTCAGAGCCTAGGGTGTCTACTTACACCCCTCTTCCTTGATAAGGTTCCAAACTCCTATTGCCTCCTCAACCTGAGGCTGCTGAGTACTTGGCTGTGTTTTTCAGAGGTTTTCTGCTTAGCTTTTTAGCATCTTGTCTTTGAAGCTTAGAAATTCAGCATATCTCTTGAGAGGAAAACTTAGATGATCAGGTTTACTTCTTTGTAGCTTCCTTTTCTTCCAAATCTGAAGTACTGGCTGCACTGGCAGACAGAACAGCAACTGCTATCTTTTTAGCCCTGTGAATCTGCTAGAAACTCTGCAGGTTTCTCTGGCTATTAGCTAAAGCCCTCTGCCCAGATTCTCTGCCTCTTACCCTGTACTAAGAATCAGTAAATACTCCTAGGGAAAACTGGCAGAATGTTGGCTCATCTCTTGCAATTCTCTTCTCTAAAGGTTCTTGGACCTTCGAGTCCTAATTGCCTCAACAGTTCTCTAAAGCCTTCTCCAGATGTTGTTTGTACTTCCACTTTTCAGGTTATTTTGACAGGAACACAGGTCTGCCAGAACTTTACCATCAGAGGTAGAAACAAGTTTCCTGCTACTATTACTTCTCTAGCCACCCCCCCATCCCCCCAACAACTATTACTTCTTGATAGGAACACTTTGAGTAATGGGATTTGTATAGTGTCACAAATATATGCCACCAGTATGCTATTTTTTTCATTCAACAAGTATTTTTTAAGCATTTACAATGTGTCAGGCAAAGATCTAGGCCAGGGGTTGGCAAACTATGGCCCACAGGCTAAATTTGGCCCACCGCCTGTTTCTGTAAATCAAGTTTTATTGGAACACAGTCATGCTCCTTTGTTGATATACTTCTATGGCTGCTTTCAGGCTATAACAACAGAGCTGAGTAGTTGTGACAGAGACAATTATGTCCTGTAAAGCATGGGATATTTACTTTATAGAAAAAGTTTGGCATCCCTTGTTCTGGGGACTGGGAATACTGCAGTGAACAAAACCAACAAAAATCCTCCCCTTTTGGATGGAGTTTGCATCCTACTGGGGTTGGGGGAGAGGTAACACATAACCAGTATACTATTTTTTAAATGCACTTCCCACTCTGTAAATTCTATCCATTCTTAAAGGTTCAACTCAAGCAAATAGCGACTATGCATATTCTGTGAATTACAAAGCTCTATACAAACATAAGATATACAGTCATGTGCCATTTACCTACGGGGAGAAGTTCTGAGAAATGCGGTTAGGTGATTTCATCAATGTGTAAACATCATACAGTGCACTTACACAAACCTAGATGGCACAGCTTAGTACTGTAATTGTATGTGCTATGCTTTCATACAACTGGCGCCGCCGATGTGTTTATACCAGCATCACCACAAACACGTAACATGTTGTGCTATGTTAGGACAGCTATGACATCACTAGGTGACAGGAATTTTCCAACTCCACCATTGTGTATATACAGTCTGTTGTTGGCCGAAATGTTGATACAAGTGCATGACTGTATTTATTTTGGAGAGCCTTTTCCGGTTACCCAGCTCAGTGATTAGTGATCTTACATAAACTTATCTCTTCCTTGGAATCCTCTTTGAGTTTTAACAGAAAGTAGATGCTAGTGAGCAAAATGTATCAACTACAACAAATTCACAAAACACTGTTAATACTTACATGTTTCCATTCATGTAGATAAGGAAGGTATATCTTCCCATTTGCATCAACATGCTTTCCTGTTTTAATAGTCATTGAACTAGTAGGTTTAACAAAACAGATAGGAGGATTATATGGGTAGGTGTCCAGCAGCCAAAGGCATATTGGAATATTATATGTATTACCTGAGAGAGAAAGATAAACTTCAGTTATTCTCTTTTTATTATTTTTCAATAATGGCATCGTAGGCAAGCAAAGCGAGAGCTACAACTAAGCATCAGTTTACAAAATCACAATATTTTAATGTTTCAAAGTTCTATTTAGGATCAGTTTCTCAAATTTTCAGGGTGTAAAATACATCAGCAGGATTAAGGAGCTAACTGATAACTACTCTGCCAGAGTGCGCTTGCTGCTGTAAAAGCATTCTTCACGAATTATCTTTTGGCTCAATCCATTCTTTGCTACTTGACTCTTATCACTTCAGTTAATAAGGTTCAGTGGGAAGGGATATAGAAAGAAGACCATGGATTATGGTTTCCTATCAGAAAGTGATAGAATTCCCTTGCCAAAGCTATCCAGCTGTCAAACAGATGCTGACTGGTGGCCACAGCTTGACCAATGCATATGGCATTTTCAGTGGTAGTTATTCAATCAATTATGTCATCTCCTCGTCTTTGCTTTATGTAATAGAATCTCTCATTGAGAAATTTGACTATATATAGTCAAATTGAACAGTGTTTCTAAGGATCCTATAGAGCAAATATATTGAACATAAATCACAGCCTTTTCTTACAAAGCTTAAAGCAAATGTCCCAAGTAACCATTTGAATCACCTGACATAATTCAGTTAACTTTTCCTTAGAAAGTTTCATATAAATACACACATATAAATTTCACTTAAAGAAATCAGACAGTTGTGGGACTTTGGATTTATTGTTTACCTCAAACTACTTCTACAATGAAGAAAAGAATCCAATAGAATATATCCTAATACATAAAACAGAAGTTTATTTCCACCACCCAGAATTCTTTGCTTTGAGAAAATGATGACTTCTACAGAATTACTTAGGCTTAAGAACTATGCTATATGAAAAATGGTGAGGGAACACAGAAGGATTTAAGATCAAATTTTTATATATATGAAATAAATCTTTAATTATGTTAACCGTAGTTTCCCGCCTCCATCTTTCCCCTATATACCTATTTCCCTCACCAGAGCTATTTCCTGAAGGCAAAGGCAAAGTTGGCACCCCTGAATCTGACTCAGTCATCCCTGATTTTATCATATTTGCTTTATTCAATGTTGATGCTCAAGTGTCTTTTCCCTCTGCCTGGAATGTCCATTCTGTTATGAATGGTTGGCTCATCCTTTAGTACCAAGTTCAAATGGCATTTACGCTATCTTCCAACATGGTCTTGTTCTCTTGTGTAATCTCACAGCATCTTTATATTTTATCATTCTATAGCACTTATAGAATATTGTAAATATCGATATATTCCCTCTGTTTCCCCTATTTGCTTAAGTTCTTCCAGAGAAGGTACATCCTTTATTTACCTTTGTATCTACAGCCCTTATCTCCTATGTCTCATGTAGAGCACGTACTATATAAAATTATGGGTAAGTTACAGAGACACAGGTCTTAGTGAGTCACATGGAATAATTAACAAATAAAGCTGTCCAAAAATAGAATAGTTGTTTACTGAATGTTCCCTTATCACTGTAAGTATTCCAGCAGAGGGTTGGTGACTGGTTAACAGAGATGTAATTATCCATCATCAGCTTATCACCAACACTACAATCATAAATTGCTTCTTTTGATATCTGTTTACTATATACCAGACTCTGTGCAAAATCCTTTACACACATTATCACAGGAAGTTCTTTTTTGAATCTGGTACTATTATCCAAATGTTATAGATGCCCACTGTCACAAACCTGATAGATTACAGAGCAAGAACGGAAACCTTACTCTGCCCTGACTTTACGACTCTTATCTTAGAAATGATACTATATAGCTTCCCATTGTCAGGAAACTCTAAATGGGGTGGGAAGCTTAACTAGGAGGCATCTAAGATTCCTTTCTTGTTCTAAGATTCTTTTTTTTTTTTTTTTTAGCTGAGCCATCCCGCCACCTGTTGGCAGCTCACGGCTGCTCAGCTCGGGCTGACTCGAACCGCTGTTGCTCAGAGCTCAAACTCTTGAGCGAGCTCTTAACCAACTGAGCCACTCTGCCGGCCCTCTAAGATTCTTTGATACCATGAAACATCAAGCTCTTCTAGCACAATGAGGAACTTACTGATATATCTTGGTAAGAAAGGAAAAAAAAAAAAAAACAAAGCTGAAAATATTAGGTGCTGCTGACGAATGAAGTTCAATTACAATATAAGTTAAACTCTCTACATCACATGCAAGTCCTGAGAAAGTTGGTTTAATTTACTTAGAACTCTCTGGCAACATACATTGTGAATCAAAATGCATCTATACTGTAGACATAAGTTATATTAAAACAACACTTGCCTCTATAAAGCACAGGAACTGTTCCAGTGAGGTTCATTAGTTCCCTGGAACTACCATCATTAAAAACTGAAAAGAAAGAACAATGATGTAATCACAAGCATTTTCATAGATGCTCCCATGTAAGTTATTCTTTTAGAAACGCTGGTTAAAACTCATTATTATTATTACCCTTGAAAGGGACTAACTTGTTAATGTAGCATCCATTTTGTCCAATAACAGAGTATCCTTTGTTGATTCATTCAATGCGATCAGCTTTAGAATGAGTAAAGAAAAGATGCTTTGAATTACTTGGAAAAATCGATGTGAGTGCTCCAGCATGATTATAAAATTACTTAAAAATCACTGTCAACTAATACTATATGAATTGTTCATCTAATATCATAAAATTTTAGATTTCCCATATGTTTATCCCTATTATCATTCTCAATCCCAATGTAGTAACAAAGCACAGTATTAAAAAAAGTTTTCACAGTTAAATACAGACATCTTCTTTTAATACAAGTATTTCTCACATCATACAAGTCTTTCTAGCTATAACTGATTAATTAGGGCACATAATTTATACTACATGGACTGCTATTCTTTGTAATAATGATTTGGAATTAGCACCGTATTACACAGGGAGAAAGCTGTAGTGTACACAAGTACAAGAACACAGCATTGTTGACAGTTCTACTTACTACTGACAATTATAAACGGTGCTGTTATTCTGATTTTGTGCTTTTAAAGCAAACCACCTTATTTAAATTTATGGCTTTATTTACTCTAAAAGTATGTTGATAACAATGGTTTAGATGTGGTGTGGCCAAGTAAGATCTGTTCAATGGTTTTGGAGTCTCTGTCAGTTTTGATCAACATACTTATTGTTTTAGCATGCAGTAAAAACTACACTTAGAGTAAAATTCACATTCCATCTCCTACGAAGCCATTTTTAAATTAACTCTAGTTTGGGTAACATGAGGGGTTTTTTTGGATCTAGATACCATAGTACAATGTGTGGACATGAGGGAAAATTGTGCCCTAGGTTTGGAGGAGAACTTCAGGTTCACATCTCGTCATTCAGGAAACTCAGGATTGTCCCTCTGTTGCCTCCCCCTTCTCATCACCAGGTTGCTAATGTTTTCAAAGCCTTAGGGGGGTAAGTGGAGTTTAGGGTGAAAGTCTCAGCTACAAAATTCAGCTCCTTGCCCTCAGTGCCAAGGGATTCATAATGAACAGAGCTCTTAGCCATGGCACGTAAGATATGGGGACAAAAAGACTATTAAAAAAAAACAAAAAACTTTAGGTAATGTAATTTCTTACTTAAATTTCAACTTTATTTTGTCTCAATAACGAAACTGTCAGCTATGCACTCTACAAAATTAAGGATCACATTTAAAAAATGTTTTCCTCAACTACAAAATGAGAGGAATATTCCAGAATTTTGTTTTCCTAAATGACTTCCTAAGAATATAAAGAAATGCTAGATTGCTGGGGGGCGGGGGTGTTAGGGTTCAGTTGTTAATTAACTATAGGATACACTATACAATATATTCTCTCCCCTCCCGGTGAGGTATAACATATTAGTATATTAAAGGCTCTGAGAAACATTGCTGCCAAGAAGCCCATTTAATTTTGTTTAATCTGTAACTGCTCAAACTTAACAAGAGAATCAATTCCCTTTACCCCCGCCAGCAACACTCTTCATAACTGTGGATAATACTTTGGGAAATGATGGACAAAACTATCTTTAACATTCCCTTTAGGTCTAAATTTGCATAGCTCTATGTTAGACTATTTGTTTTTAAAATTTAAAATAAACAAATTTAAGATGTTTTTATTAGATCTTGTAATTTTCTATCCCTCCAACACTTTTAATAGGTGGTTTTGTCCTAAAATGGAAAAACCAACAAACTTAGAAGAAAAATTGGAAAACTACAATCTTTAACAAAAGAGTAAACTCGAAGTGCAGTAATTAATATTTATTATGTAAACTCACCATATGAATCCAATACAGGTTTGAGATCTTTGTATAACGTAATGACATTGACAGTTTCACGTACAGTTAGGTCTCTGTATTTGTACTGAAAAGCAAAATCACACAAGAATGTAGTTTAAAACTAAATGTACATATGTACCTATTTCACTGCTAGGTTAATTTTCTTAAAATTTTATTTTCTTAATAGCATTCTTCTTAAAAGTATAATGGTTCTCACTAACCATTAATTAAAGCTGAAAGAACCTCAGTAACTTTCTCTCCTGCCACCTATTCAAACCCTTTACTCACCTCCATTTTAGCTCTTCCAACTTAAAAGGTCTTCCACCAAATCAAATCTTAACCATTCTCAAAAAACTAGCTTACATCTCTCGCTCTTCTCAACGAATCCTTTTCCAGAATTCCCTTTAGCCCATAGTGACTGCTCCCTTTCCTTCAAACTCCAGCATTTGTTGTCAATAACAACTATTTTGCAATTTATCATTTTCTGTATTGTATTTTCACATTCTCAGCATGTACCACTCCACTCCAGAAAACTAGGAACCTGGCTTACACACTCTTGGAAGGTTAGATCAGAAGATGGGGACCCCCATCTGATGACAATATTTGAAGCTCACCAGCTGATAAGCTCCATCCATGAACACAAAGCTTTCAATCAGCTTTTAGTGTTTCTTATACAGAAGCAGTCGACTATTGCGAAAACAAAGACTCCAGAAGCATGACAGAGACCAACACAGAAAAGAAACAAGAAGTAATAAAATTAATGCAAGAAGAAAACTTCAGAAAGAATTAGCATTAATAATTTCAAAAAAAGAAGAAATGACATTGTATCCATGAAACAAGGACACTTAGAAAAGAAAGGACTCTTGGACATAAAAAAATATGAATAGAAACGAAACATTCAATAGAAGGATTTGAATATAAAGTCAAAGAAATCTCACCAAGATTAACACAAAGGGTGATAGACAATAAGAAAGAAAAATTAGGGAACAAATCCAGGTCTACTCAAAGGCATCTCTGCAACATTTTTTTGCCCTTTTTTCCTGAAGCACCTATTTTTCCATGCTTTTGGGATCAGTACTATTAGCGTACAAACATATTTGTATTTCTCCCATCTTAACCACACAAAGAAAAGTGTTTCCAACCATCCTTCAGCCCTCTAGCTACAACCACTCTTTCAGTTCCCCTTTATAGAAAGCAAAAACCTGCAAAGAGCTGCCTAACTTTGCGGTCTTTGACTGCTCTGTTTCTTTCTCCCCTTTTAAACTTTTTATTATGGAACATTTCAAATATATTTAAAAGTAGACATAATAGTATAATGAGCCCCCTGCATTCTATCTACACCCAGCTTCAACAATAATCAACTCATAACCAATCTTACTTAATCCATACTCTCATTCATCTTTCCCTCCTTCTGTATTATTCTGAAACAAATTATAACATCATATCCTATCACCCATAAATATTTTAGTATCTTTAAAAGAACTTAAAAAACCCCACAATACTATTATCACACTAAAATAATCACCATTTCCTTATTATTATTAAATATGTAGTCTCATGTCTTTTTTTTTTTAGTTTGAATCAAGATCCAAATAAAGTCCATACATTGCAATTTGCTAAAATATCTTTTAGGTCTCTTTTAATCTATAGATCCTCCCTCTCATCCCTCTTTTTTGATAACAGCTTTGACATATAATTCACAAATTTAAAGTAAATTATATAAAGTTCAATGGTTTTAAGTAGATTCAGTTATGCAACTACCACCACAATCAATTTTAGAACATTTTCATCACCTCCAAAAGAAAATGGTACCCTTTAGCAATTACCCCCTTATTTCACCTGCCCGCACCCTTATTCATCTTAGACAAACACCATTCAACTTTCTGTTTTTATCAATTTGCCTATTCTGGATATTTCATATAAATGGAATGATATGCTACGTGGTCATTTATGACTAGCTTCTTTCACTCAGCATGTCTTCAAGGTACATCCATGTTCTACTTGTATCAGTACTTCATTTTATGGCTGAATAACATGCATTATTGCTTAATATATCACGTTTTATTCATCACACATCAGTTGATAGGCCCATTTCTATTTTTACCCCTTGGAATTTGTTGACAAAATCAATTCATTTGTCCTATAGAGGCTCCTATGATATTTCTAACTGTATCACCTTGGTTTGGTTTAATATACATGTTCCTATGTCCTCTGTATTTCCTGTGAATTAGTAGTTGGATCTAGAAGTTTTGATCTTTTTCATGATTTTTTTTCTAAATTTTACTTTTTTTCGTCCTCCTCCCTCTTGCCCCCTCCTTCTCTCTCTTTGTGGCAGCCCCTTCTCAGTCTATTTGCTGGTTCTTTCTCTTCTAATCTCTTCATATTATTGAGTCCCAGGGCTCAGTCCTTCGGTGGTCTCCCTCAAGGCTTTAAACACCATTTATATGGTGATGACTCTCAAATTAAAAAATTCCAAACTGAACTTGCTTCCTGAACTCCAGATATGAATACCCAATTGCCAATTTGATTATCTCCACTGGGATACCTAATGAATATCAAAAATGGCATGGAACAATACTCTTCAATTACAGAGTATGTAAAACGATGCACTTTTTTTAAAAAAAGTGATATATAAGTGTTACAACATAGATCAAGGCCACAATCTAGAAGATTGTTTCTAGCACTCCCCAAAACTTCTTCTATAGTTCAGGATAACTGCTTTATCAAAAGAAAATCAAGAGGCCTAGAAGATAGTAGACAACCAAGAGAAACTTTATTTTAAAAACTATCACTTGCTCTTTAGAGGTTACTGCTCTTCAACCAAAGATTATGGGGACGATCTTACTAGGAAAAAAAATTTTTCCCATAGAATTAAGCTTATGCATAATAGTGTGCTTTTGTAACACTGAAAATGGTTTAAACCATTTCGATTTCTACCATTCTTACTTTGATGAACATATCCAAAGCTAACCGGTTAAACTACAGAAGATTCAACTCTCAACCACTTCACATACATCTTAGTCCAATTAGCTTTGGTAAATTGAAAAACAAAACAAACAAACAAAAACACACACACAAAAAAACCCATCTCACCCAGTTCACTCTGATATCACGTGCTACATTTTACGTTAATTATCAAAATAATTCACAGATTTAATAGACAAAATGCATACCTAGTTTTTTAAAAATGAAATAACACACCGGTCTCGAACTGTGAAGGTTAAACAAATTAAGTTCAAAGCAAATAAATTCGCGTTATAAGTATACAATTAAAGATAGTTACTCCTAGCAAATCAAAGTCCCTGAAATGGTAATGGAACTTTATTTATTTCACCTGCGGTAGTGAGGTGCTGATGTTTTGGCTTCTCAAGGCTTTTTTACTTATAATCGAGCCAATTCAACCAGTAGTTACTCATCGAGCTGTGTGAGGAATACAAAACTCAAGAGGACACAATCGCTGCGGGCCAGGAGGGAAGGGCGGAGGCTGATGGACCCGCACACTGGGACAAGGGTTGGGGAGGAATGACCAAGAGCGAGAACTAAATACAATGCCCTCTTTGTCTATAAAAAGTAAAATGAAAACTATACTGTCCCCCAGACTGTTCCAAACTCAACCCGAAAAGAGGAGGGCAGGTGGCAGGCGGCCTCCGCTTCGCGCCTTTGTTGACTGCCGCCGCCCCCCACTCCCCTGACCCCGTATCGGGGTTCCGGCACAAGGCGACAGGCATCTCTGGGCTTGGGGGGGGGGTGTCGCTAAGACGCCTCAGGATAGCGCTGAGGTTTCCTGCCCGCCTGGGAGGTTAGCTGGGCTGGGCTGAGTCGGGCCCCGCCGGGCGCAGAGGGGAGCCGTGGGTGCGCGCCGGGGGACGAGCGCGTCGCGGCCTCACCTTGGACACCATTTTCTTGAGCTGGCTCTCCGACACCGCCATGGCGGCCACCTCGCGGCTCCCGTCCCCGAAGGCAGAGGGTCAGCCGCTCCGGGGCTGCCCCAGGACACCCCACACAATCGCACACAGAGCAGCCTGCCCCCCACCCCCCCGCCTCTAACAACAGGAAGTCGGCCGCCACGACAGCCCTTCCGCTTCCTTTACGTCACTTCCGGGGTAGAACACTGAGGCTGGGCGAGGGCTGGGTTCCTACCGACCCGCGGCTCAGGTGCGGTACTCCGCCGGCCGGGTTGGGTCCTAACGATGAGGGCAAGCCTATCCCGAGGATAGAAACTCTGGGGCGGGACAGGATCGGCAGATGTTTCACAGTTGCCCTTAAACGAGGGGAGCAGGTGCAGGGAGGGGAAGTACTGCGAAGGTCTTGGTAGTGAGCTTGGATTCATCAAATGGGAAAGCACTGGACTGGGAGTCAGAACACTGTTCTGCCTTTAACTTGCTCTTATGATAATAGCAGGCAAGTACACTTCTAGCTCCGGCTGAAGTTTTTTCCAACTCTAAGATGAGAGGCTTGCATTAGATGATGCCCAGGGTCTCATTATCAGGGTTCATTTGTTTTAAGCTTAAAAGTTCTTCATACTACATTGACAAGGGCCAAGTGCTGAGCCCTCATTTCACAGGAAGGCTGGCAGTAATTTCTTCTCCAGGAAATCATTCCCCTACCCAGGCATAAACGGTAACACAGGCTGCATTGTACCCGGCACTATGTGTATTAGCCTGTCTAGTGTCCCCGTCCAAGTCTTTGAGGGCAGGCTCATCTTCAGATCCCCATTGCCTTGTACAGCGCAAGAGTACTCGATCTTAACTGTCTACTACCTATACAAGTTCTTCATGGCCATTTATATTAGGCATTATTGCACACCACCAGTTTTATGAGTACAGTGTCATTCAACGTATTGTAAAACTTGGTTTTGATTATGTGAATTATGGTAATTTGGATGATTTTAGCCTAGTGCTAATGACGAACAGGCTGTGGTATTAATTCCATCTAAATTGGCCTCTAAGTAAAGGTCACATACACAAAGAGGGCCTAATTGAAACCATGTAGAAGCATCATTATAAATTGTTGCACACACACAATAAAGGCTACTCCAATAGGTATCTTTTTTTTGGATATGGACACCATATATATGTTAGTAAAGCATACTCGTGTAGCTCCAGTCAAAAGGCAGTCTATTCTTCCACTGCACCTCTTTTATGTTACTTAAAAGCATTGTGGTTTTCAAGCTGTTCTTCAAGCCAAAGCTCACTCAGGAAGAGCAACTCTGCTTTTACCATTTGGGAGAGTGCAGGAAATATAATGTTTAAAAAGGTTTCTTGTGAAAAATGAATTTTTAAAGTTTGAAAACAATTAACAAAATCTGGTCTCTTCATTCGGCACTTAAGCCACTTAAAACAAAATAACTAAATATCCTGGGGACCATATGAATTATGAAAGAATCTTCCTTCTTAATCTGAGTAAAGTTCCTTCCACTCAATAAATTAGGCACCTCCTGGTGATTTTAAAGTCGAAGATTATTTTATTCATTATTCTTAATATTATTCTTACAATGTAAGTTGGAAAATAAAATATTTATCTCTGCTACAATATCAAAGAAACATTTTAATCCACACCCTGCTAAAAATCATAACAAGAGACATGGCATGATTTTGGGAAAATGAAAAAGTGAAAGTTAATAGCAGCATCATGGATGTCAGATTATCACTGAATCATAGTGAGGTGGTGGTGGTACTGCTTCTTGACTTGTATATGTCGCTCACAACATGATTGATAATATTCAACACTTAAGAACTGATCTGATAGAATTACTTCTATATTGTGGGCTTCTGTAGGGCAAGGACTGTTACTCATCTTTAAATACTCAGATTCTAACAGTACTTAGAATAACAGTAGATGATCAATAAGTATTGTATTGACACGTTTCTTTTATAATTAATGTAGTGAATTCTTGGCAATTCATCTACTATACAGTATCTTATAGTTAGGTTATTGTTTAAGAGCACATGAGAAATTAGATAGTAGATATATAATATTAGAAAAGGCTAGTTTAAAAAAACAAGGTTTTTTCAGTTTTACTTGCCTATCTCATACAAAAAGACAATAAGGATACAGTGTTAGAGTAGCACCAAAATAATCTACCCATCTAGTGAAATTACACAGAACTAATGCTTATCTCTTCAAATGTCCAAGGTTTTTATACTACTTAATTCTGGTGGGAATCTTTCCAAGCATATTAAATACTTTTCTACTTTCTTAAACATGGGACACTGAATATAATTTCACCTTTTCTTAATGATTTCAACTCATCATTGTAAGTACCCATTATTATATTAAATCAGTATTAGTTTGATTGTTTCCTCTCTCCCTCGGATGTGTCTGCCTTTATAAACTGTCGGGCTCCTGTCTCTCTGACCAGGTTTGAGTTCACCTATGATATGCTTTCAAAGCACCTGGGACTTCTTCACAGAACTTATTCCATTTGCAATTGTACATTTACTTGTGACATTTGATTACTGTCTCCCATACTAGATTATAAGGACCACGAGGTCTTGTACCTAGTCCAGGTTTGCTCACCACTGTATCTGCAGTGCCTAATATATGCTCCCAGTCAATACTACCTGAATGACTAAATAAATAAATACCTATCTCGGTGCATACCCCTCTCTGCTATTTGCTGAGGGTAAGTCTGGGAAGTAAGGGAATCAATCTTTCTAAAAACTATGTTGGAAAAAAAAGTCAGCTCCTATATGAGAATGGAAGAGCACAGAACCCCAGCTTTAGAGTCTTGTGGTAACTATTTTGGCTATTAGGCCTTTCTCCCCTTCTAGTGCTTAGAAAAAGTAGAGATTGTATGGTTAAGTGTCCCTTAGCCATGAGATCTAGATCACTAAAGCTCAATTTCCTCTTCTATAAAATGATGATGATAATAGTTCCTACCTCAATGGGTTACTGTGAGGATTCAACAAAAGAATCAAATGCTTATCACACTGCCTGAAATATAAGAAGTGTTGATGTTACTTGTTACTATTAGTTGCATGCCACCTTAGTAGTAATACGCTTTCTTTCACATATGAAGATAATTGTTATTGACCCATCATTAAAGCATATGTACAATGAGTAACTTCTTCAGGAGTGGTTAAGGATTTGCTCTGAACAATCAGTCCATCCAACTTCTCCCCCCTTAAAACCAATAGCTTTTATGAAAGCTTCATATATTAGCTTTAAAGTATACTACTTGGCTTTCATTCATAATCAATTTTCACTGAAAATACACATTTCTCTACAGCTCTACCAATATTATTACAGTGAGTTTTTGAGATATTAAGAGATCTGATATAACTCAGGAAAAGGTTATAGAAAATTTCAAAAAGGACAGTCCCACTAGAAGTTAAACTACACTTTTTATTCACTTATTAAAAAATTTCACTTTTCCTTCTACTATTTTAAAGTACAAGTAAAATTCTTTTTCACTTTTGGTAGCTAATTAATTGAAGGAGGAAAACATTATTATTGCTGTTACTACCAACTCTTTTTTTTCCCAACTGTATTTTAAAGCGGAAACATTAATATCTTAAACTGTGGATCCTTTGAATGTATACCTAGCACAGATTTCATAAATTCATACTGGGCCTTCAGCTTATCATATTTACTATAACAGCCAATGAGTAATTTTCTTTTAAAAATATATTACTTTCAAAATATTACCAAAGTGCTGAATGTGCTTTGAGGAGACATAATTTTACATGATGCATATTGCAGTTACTGTTTCCCTGCTGTAGGTTTAAAGAATGGTGTGTGTGTGTGTGTGTGTATCAAGAACAAAGAAAATTAGATTTTCTTCCTCCTCATCTAATTCCCTAAGAATTCAAATTACAAAACTAACCAAGAGATTACCTACCTTAACCAAACAATTTGTAAGGATAAGTAGTAAGATATAGAAGTTCTTAACCCTACATATGTTGGCAAAATTAAGTGACCTTTCCTTTCAGGTAACTCCGAACTTTAGAATCAAAGTTTTAACTGTTGTTGGAGACCATGGATTGATGATGCGCTGCTTTGGAGTTTCTCTGTCACTCTGTCGTCTTTCATTGAGCTTTTGATGACTTCAGATACCCCACCGGTTCCAAGGATGCAAGGCAAACTCAAAAACACTTCATTATTTATATCATAATATCCCTGAAATGAATAAAACTTGGATTATAGAGCTGAATCAATGCAAAAAAGTTAATATCATAAATATGAATACTTTCTTGCTTTTCTAGCCCTAGTACAAAGTGATATGTTAAACCTTAAAAAAATTATTTATTTTCTAAACTCAAGTTATTGCTTCAGAAAATTTTTGTGAAATGGGAGGAAATGGGTCAAAGACATCCCCTTTATGGGAAGATGAGCTAGCCCCCTGAAATATGGGTAGCAGGTTGGGGGCTAAGAAAAAAGAGTCAGAGAAGAAGAGGCGCACATAACGGGCTCTGGGTGCAGTCAAATACAGTAACCTGTTTGAAGTTTTCCTTTCCATGTTTTACTTCTCCTGGTATTCAAGAAATTTTGGTTAAGCACTGGTACCTTGTCTTAGCTGTGCTTTAGGGACTTTATGCTCAGGATAAAGTGGAAAAAGTGGACTGGAGAAGCAGGCTGATGACCAGCTAAGGCCAGCTGGCACGTCAGTCTGGGGCAACCTGGCTGGCTGAAGTGAGAAATGACAACCAGAAGTTTATGGAATATATAAGTGCTTCTTGGGAATTCCCAAAAATTACACGGGGGTAAGGGGAAACCAGGTAGAAGTCCAGACTTCCCATACGCAGCAGGAAAGGACTTAGACCAAACTGTCCTCTCCCATGTGTTACTTTTAGAAACGCTCGTGATATTGAGGACACCTGAGTTACAGTGTGAACAGCACTTTCTCTGGCTTCATATTCATAATATAAAAGTTTAAGAATATGATAAGAGGGCCGGCCAAGTGGTGCATTGGTTAAGAGCTGGCTTGGGACGCCAGCTCTAAGCAGCAGGGTCCCAGTTCGGATCCCACATTAGAGCCAGTGACACTGCGCCCTCTACAGCTAAGATGGTGAACAACAGCTCGACCTGGAGCTGGGCTGCCATGCGCGTGGGCTGCCATGTGCATAGGCTGCAGTGGGGCTGCCGTGAGCTACCGTGAGCCGCTGGCAGCCAGTGTGAACTGCCAAGAGCCGCCATTGAAATAAGGTCCCCCATTTTCTTACTGCTAAACTCAAGCCAGGCATTACAAAATGGTTCCTACTCTCTTCTAGCTTTCAGATACCTAAAAACGGTAGCTGTTCTCGGAAATCATACACTCACAAATAATAGGATATGAGAATTTATAATTATAACCAGCCTCAGTCTACCCTATACTAACAGAAGCCAGCAAAAGCCCCAACTTCCCCTCAAAACCCAATATTCTCCCTTCCCCTTATTAACTAACCTGCCCAGCAACAGCAACAAAAAGAGCAGCAGAATATATACTCAATAATAGCTTAAATAATTTTTAATCATTATATACTTACAAACTACCAATTAATTATAGTTAGACACAAACATAACCCTGCTATTTTAGCTTCTTGAATAACGCTTTGCTAGGACTAAATACTTATCCAAATGGGGACCCCCACCCTAGAGTATAGGTGGCTGGGGTCTAAGGGACTTTCCACCACCCCTACCTGGGACTTCCTTGTTTGGACTTACCAGTTTCTGTATAACTCTTTGGAATTACCCTGCCTCAATGTACCCCTGTGGTTTTTGCCTTTATAAACCTTACCCAACTTCCCTTCAGGGCTGCGAGGTCTTTAGAGGCATTAGTCCCCTCATAGCTGCTGGCTTTGCAATAAAGACTCCTGATTTGGCATAACTGATATTGTTGTCTGCCTGACTTGTGAGCTTTGCTTTACAACACCGTGAGCGACCGTCTAGTGGCGGGCAACCAATCTGCCTCACCCAGGAAGAGCGCAATGATAATACCAACATGGGCCAGTGAAGCAACGTCCAACATGACTAGACTGAAGAACAAAAGGACAGCAACTTGTCTGTTCCCCTCCCCCAATTCCCCAATAAAATCTTTAAAAAAAAAAAAAGAATATGATGAGAGAATGAGAATAGCAATTACCTTTGCTAAAATTGATACAGAATGCACTTTCTTTTTATCATTTACAAGACTGTCGACCAGGTCAGCTACTGATAGTCCAACAGACCAGGATCTTTGACCTTTTAACTTTAATAGTTCCATGGCTCTGGGTTACCAAAACAAAAACAAAAACAAAACAAACAAAAAAATCTCAGAAAATGCACAAAATAAGCATTTAGTTTTACCTTCTGTTTAATGTTTAATTACATATTTTTATGACACAGAAATAAGAGTTATACAGCAATTGTTAGAAAAGCCTACAGATAATCTAATGATTCAGCTTTTCTTAAAATGTCAGACAGGCAGTTCACAGAGAGATAATACAAATGGCCTAACGACATAAGAAGATGCTCACCACCACTAATATTTAACTAAATATGAATTAAAACAGTAAATACACCAGTTTGGCCGATCAAAATTGGCAAATATTAAAAAGACTGATCACGGGCCGGCCGAGTGGCGCGATGGTTAAGAACTCGCTTGGGATGCCAGAGGGCCCCGGTTCGGATCCCACATAGGAGGGCCAGTGACACTGCCCTCCACAGCTAAGATGCTGAACAACAGCTCAATCTGGAGCTGGGCTGCCATGAGTCGCCGGCGACGGCGTAGGCTGCAGTCCCTGTGGCAGTGGGTTGCCATGGGCTACCGCAAGTAGCCAGCAGCCAGCGTGAGCGGCCAGCAGCCGCAGTGAGCGGCCGTCCAGAAGCCGGCGACTGATCTGCCTTACCAGAGAAGAGCGCAATGATGGTGCCAGCTTGGGCCAGTGAAGCAACGTCCTCCACAACTAGATTGAAGAACAAAACGACAGCAACCTGTCTGTTCCCCTTCCCCCAATTCCCCAGCGCTGTTCTCCTCCCCGCAATTCCCCAATAAAAATCTTTAAAAAAAAAAAAAAGACTGATCACTACTTTTGAAGAAGCTACAGAGAAACAGGTATTCCCATAACTGTTCCTGAGATGCAATCTTTTAGGAGAAAGATTTCGCAACATCTGATCTCGAAATTCTTCTTCTAGGAATTAGTCCTATAAGCAATATGCTCACGTGTACAAAGATACACATATAAGTTTGGAAACAATTAAGCAAAAGAGGACTGGTTAAATAGATCTGTGCATTATACTTCGTTTTTGCCTGAAATTATAACATGGCTTATCCATTCATATTAGACTAATTTCTAAACATATTTATGTGTGATTTATAAATACATATTAATTTTTATGTGGTATGGACAAATTCTCTTCTACATTTAAGAAAATTCTCAATACACATCCTCAGATGTGTAGATGTAGGAGCTGTAAATCACTGTTTGCAAATCAGGGATGTGTTCTACCCTTTAAGTGTCAACTGTGTATCTGAAATAAAATTTGCGAAGCACTCTTCGATCTACTTTCAGATAAGAAATCAAAGAACAGAAAACTTGTACTTCCCTTGTACTTCTGGAATTGTCCATACTAGCTAGTTTTGACTGCAGGAACCTGGTAAGTACATGCTGTGTAGATAGCTGTTACGTTAGCTAGGAAGGACATGATTGTTAGTTGGATAAATGCAAATCTACGTCAGTGTTACCTGCTGGACAGCTGCTCCTGAGAGTTATGACTCATTACTTCTTCCTGGCCACCCCATTTGGTCACTAAAAGGTAAATGAAAAATTAATTATATTTTGACAATCACTCTCTTAGGATTAAGATGTGATAAATGATCATCTGCAGTCAAGGGTACCTGTATGAAACATTAAATATACATTTCCCCCCCTTCTAGCAATAGTTATATTTTTACACTGATGACACTAAATGTGCTGTACCGATTGCCTGGGGTAAGAAAGACTTTGAGCTGCAGCCCCCAGAGTCTGTTTGTAGCTTCCCACCTGTTTACTCTCATCAACAACAGTTCTGCCAGGGGCATGTTACTGCCCAAGTAGAAAGCTTTCTTTCCTTAGCAGGCTGTGAATCATAGGTTCTCAAGTGCTGCAAACACTTGGCATCTGTTCTGTTGGGAACCACACAGATACATTTCTTTCACCAGGTGAGGAATAACCAGGCCACCGATTCTGGGCTAGATTTCCACAGCTGTTAGAGAGGCCGGGTCCGGTTTTCTAAGATCATCTTTGGTGATCATCATTTCCTCTCACTACACCACTGATAAAAACAATTCAAAATTCAAAGCTGTGCACATGAACTGGATATGTATCCCACACCTTAATGCTGAATTGAAAGTAACGTTTTGAAACTACTCATCTGTTTCTCATCCGTGTGAAGACATTCTTTGATACAAATCTTTACTTGGGTAAGCAAAACAAAAATACATTCAGGTACATAAGACTACCTTATGTTTAACATACAAGTCTTCTTAAATGCATTCAAAATTAGGCCTAAATTTAGTGATGAGTCAGCAACAAAGGACACCATATCTATCTCCCATCCTCAAATGGATTATAAGCTTCCAGGGGGGCAAGGACCATGTGATCTTGCTTTGGGTCCTCGCACACATACTTTACCATGGAAAAGAATGCACAGGAGATAATACAGAACTGATCTCATACACAATCCATAATTATATTTCATAACAGAGGAAACCTAACAATTAAGTTGAAAAACAAAAGTTTTATGTTAAGTAAAATAACAGCAATACAAAGAACTATTTTATGAAAAACTTAAATCCATGTGGACAAGTTAAGGGATTTAAAAAAATGTTTTACTTGGATAGATGGATTATACATGAATTATTTTCTATAACAATTTTGGTACTTTATCAGTATATTCACAATAAACAGAAAATTGCAAGGAAATGTCTCCTAAATGAAATATAGCATTTACAGACCTTGGAAAGATGAATAAAAGGGGCAAAGTAGGTATAAAAACAGACAAAGGACACCAAAAAAAATCTTGAAATTAATTATGAGTATAACTGCCATTATTTATTATACACATGATCACATTTTTTATCTTCCTTCTCTGAATCTGGACTTATAAGAGCCATGAGAAAAGAGTGTTTAGAGAGAGGGAGAAAGCTTCTCTATGTTCAAATTTGCTTCTGACAAAGTTATTAGAATTTGCAGTTAAGTTTAGATGGACTTAATTATTTCATTTTTTTCCTGCCCAGCCCTTTAAACTTCCTAAATGTATATCCATCCTAGTTTATGGAGCCCTTTCAAATATTGTATTTAATATTGATCCTAATCTTTCTGGTTCCACTCTTCAAGAACAGTAACCTGGCCCCCAAAATTTTAATGAAAAATGACCACGGGACAGCTGTCCATTACATATAACACCTACCCCTTTGGTAAGCCTGATGCCCAAAGCACATGAGCTAACCCTCTGTTCTGAGGTCCAGTTGGATTTCTAAAAGATCACTTGAAGGAGTTACCTACAGTTTACACACGATTTCAATATCACTGCAGCTCCACAGCACATGTTCTGCTGATTCCCTAATTTGGTGGGGCATAATATGAATGACCTTTGGTCACAAGATGGTGTTAGGATCATTCATTTCAAAACACATTCCAAATTCAAGGAGCTGCAGTCTAATGGGGTGAACAGGCAGGTAAATAAGCAATTATAACACAGTGTGATGATGTTTATAATAAAGGCATTCACTTACTTAACCTGGAGAAATTAGGGAAGGCTTCCTGGAAGAGGTGGCACACAGGCTGTAAGCAGGAGTTAGCCAAGTGAATGAATGTTCAGGGAAAGGAAACATCAGGTGTAAAGTCAAGGAGGCATAAGAGTGCATGAACCATTCAGGAAATTGTAAGCTGACCATCTGACTAGCATAGACTGCCTGGCAGAATGGCAGATGAAGCTGGCGGGGGGGAGGGAAGCAGGAAACAGGTCCTAAAGGGTCTTGTATGGCATATGATTCCTTCCCCAGGCTGTAGCTGCCATTTGTCTCTGAAATCCTTGAGAACAATTTTACTTACACACCTGCTATTCTTATAACTGTTTCCAAATTTTAATGTTGTTTTACTTCAAAGCATAGTTTTACATGTTCTTTTGCCCATTTTCTATTCCTCACCATCTTGCGATTACTGTAATAATGACAACCATTTACTGAGTGTTTACTCTGTGCCAGACACTGTACTAAATGCTTTAGATAAATTATCTAATTAAGTCACGGCAAGAAAAAGCACAGCTTTGGAGTTGATCAGGGTGCAAATCTCAGTGTTGCTCTTACTAGATGTGTAACTCAGACAAATCAGTTAGCATCACTGAGTCTTAAGATTCCTCATCTATTCATTTGGAAAACCACCACCTCCTTCTCAGGGTGTTTTTAAATGAGCTATGCAAAGCATTTAATACATATAGTAGCCACTCAATATAAAATAACTACAATTGCTATTACTATGGTGGTGTCACTGACGCAAAAAATATAACCAGTTGGTGTCTACACATGAAACCAGCAGAGGGAGCCTCTAATCCATTTTGGGCTTCCGGACAAGGTAAGGATACCTATCCATGGATATAACTATCTCTGCAAGGAAGTACAAGACAAGATAAAGAGTGATCTGATAGTGGTATCTAGACCGGAGGCAGGGAGATGGGCTGGGAAGTACATAGGTGGCTTCAGTGGTATTGGTAATTTTCTTAATTGAGTGTGGATTAATGAATGTTTACACTATGCTTTCAAACATACATATACATTTTATGTGTCAATATTACATAATATTATACTTAAGTGATCTCAACTAACATGCACCTGCATGTCTTTTATTTCTAGTTCCTAGTTGAGAGCTTAGGACAGAACTTCCATTATCCCTTCCTTGTGTTTTTATCCTACTTCTCTCGGACCTCTCTCATAGCAAGTCAATACTGCCGATTATAGTCATTTCCTGTATTAGACTCTAAACTTCCTAAAGACAGGGTCAGGTTTTTGTACTTCTCTAGATCTCTAACAGTAATCAGCACAGTTCCTTAGGTTTATTTATTCTCACATCATCCTTTATTTTCTCTTTACAATTTGTTATATTAATGCAACCATCCTGTGAAATGTTCTTTTTTTTTTTTTTTAAGATTTTTATTGGGGAATTGGGGTATGGGAACAGCGCTGGGGAATTGGGGGAAGAGGAACTGTCCTTTTGTTCTTCAGTCTAGTTGTGGAGGACATTGCTTCACTGGCCTAAGTTGGCACCATCATTGCGCTCTTCCCGGGTGAGGCAGATCAGTCGCCGGCTTCTGGACGGCCGCTCACTGCAGCTGCTGGCCGCTCACGCTGGCCGCTGGCTACACACGGTAGCCCATGGCAACCCACTGCCACAGGGGCTGCAGCCCACGCCGTCGCCGGCGACTCATGGCAGCCCAGCTCCAGGTTGAGCTGTTGTTCAGCATCTTAGCTGTAGAGGGCAGTGTCACTGGCCCTCATATGTGGGATCCAAACCGGGGCCCTCTGGCGTCCCGAGCCAGCTCTTAACCATCGCGCCACTCGGCCGGCCCCTGAAATGTTCTTATTCATTCAAAAATTTTAACTTATTAGAGGGACTGGTTAAATAAATTTTGGTATATCCGGTAGTTAAAAAGAATGAATGAGATCTATATTATGTTATTATGTATATATGTTATTATGCAATCATTTCCAAGTCATTTCAAAGTAAAAGGATAACTTGGAAAATGATGGATGATTTCATACACTTATTTGTCTATGCACAGGACATTTCTGGAAGGTTACACAAGAAACTGGTAACTGCTTCTAGAGAAGGACTGGGTGTCTGGCATAGAAAGGTGACTTATTTTTCACTGCATATTTTTGTGTACTATTTAATTTTTTTGCAATGTGAATGACTTTTTCAACTAAAAGAATAGCTTAATAATTTACACTTTCAATAAGGAGAAGGTGCACACACAATGTTGAAATTGGATCAGAATAAACAGCAGTTTAACAAAAGAATAAATGTCATGAGACAATATATGGTTAATCATCATAAGCTAGCAATAGCTTTTAGCTCAGAGGAATGAAGAAATCACTGTGGAGTGATGTGATCAGGAAAAGCTTCATAATGTAAGTAAAGAGGGCTCGACCAAGACTTTGAGGCTTGAGGTTGGAATATGCAGAGAGAGAGGGAGAAGGGATTATGGGGGAGGTACATGCAGTGGGCAAAAGTCCCTGTGGCTGAAGCAAAGCTGTGGGGTGGTGCTGGAAGGCACAAGACCGGGCTTTAGTCCTTCCTTGACCCGGAAAGCTGTCGGCTCTTGGGGAGGTCACTTACCATTCCGGCATCCATTGCTGGCTCCCAAACACAAAATATAACTGATGATGCGTTGGGTCCCTCCCAGCTCTCTAATAACATGACGACCTCCATAACTATAATCGGGGAGGAAGAGCAGGGCTACATTTTGGGACTTCTTCAACGCCAAGCAAAGGAATTTAATGGTTTGGTCAGAGGAAGCCAGGAAAAGTTTTTGGTCAGGAGAAACCAGTGAAAGTTTTTGAAAAGAGATATATGATTTAAGAATAGTGAATTAATATATGAAAGGATATAGTAGGCACTATGTAAGTTTTGGCTAGTATCATTATTAATCTGGCATCATTTACAGGGTAGACTAAAGGGTAAACAACAAGCTAACTGGGAGATTTGCAACAATCAGATAAACAAAAGATCAACATAGACCAGAACTCAAATGGAGTAGTAAGTAAAATTCAGGGTCTTGGGTTTGTTTGAAACCCTAGACATTCATTACTCTAATACATCTGCTGCAAGTTCTTGTTTGCTACTAGTTTCTAGGGTCCTACTGATTAGTGTTTAGTGTTAGGCAGCATTGTGAGCCTGAAAAGTATTTCTGCTTGGATCACACTGCCAGGTTTTATAAAAGTTTATTCTATAGCCTTTCTAGCATTGATTTTGAATATTCTAGGTAGCCAGTGCAGATTTATATGGATTTTAAATATTTGCTGTATTTTATTAAAATAATTTTCTTAAAAATACCACATATGACAAAATTAGAAAACACAGAAAAGTACAAATTTTTAAAAGTTACCTCCAAGCCAGACATAACAACTGTTAGTATTTGGCATCAAAACATCTAGGAAGCTTTGAATTCTGAGAAAATAGTTTTAAGAACATATAAAATCTGACTAAGGGGTCTTGCATAATCTCAAACCTACAGAAAAGTAAATATAATTAGAATAACATGTTTTGAGGAGTTTATTCACAACATAAGTAGGTCATGTTACACAGAAGGCATTCAAATGTAGAACAAAAACCAACTAAGCTCCACAATTCTTGAGTCCCCAGATATATCTGAATATCATGACCCTTGGTGATTTATCGGTATAACTCATAAAAATGTGTTTCTTACCTTTGTCTTCTCCCTGCTCACCAATAACCCATACTTCTTTTCCTGAAGTCGGTACCTTCAAAACATTTGTAATAATATACTGCAATCTCTGTGAATCCAGATTGCATCCAATTCCAATCACTCGATTTGCAGGAAATGTACTCAGTTTCCATGTCACGTAGGTCATGATTTCCACTAAATATTGCACACAAGGTGAAAATGTAGATTTAAAAAATATATACTCCTAGCCTAGTTCATAAACAAATATTTATTATTTTAATAAGTATATGAGAACTTGTACATACTGTTCTTAGGTCCTAAAAGCACTATAAAGCATAATATATTTTTAATGTATGTTAAAAACACAAACCAGGTTTCAGCATGATTTAACATAACTTTGTTGTTAACTATAAATTGTTAAGAGTGGAAAACAGATAAATTTTCTAGAATCATTAAACAAGGAGGAGGAAAACCGGAAGATAATTTTTTTTCATTAATCAAGTTCTCTTCTATGTCTATCTTAAGCTGAATTTCTATCTTAAAACTCATATACCACCACTAGGCAGTATAGCATTGTGAACAAAATCACAACTACTTTTTCTTACATGCCAAAAGGATGTCAGGAATTAAAGAGACCAGTGTCTCTCAACCAATTACTATAGGAAAACAGTGAAATGCATTCCACACTCCTATATTGGGAACATTTAAAAAAATCTGTTCACTAATTTGAGTCCAGCACCACATCCAACTCTTTGAAAATATTTCTTTTTTAAGTAAAACAATTTCAAATACAAAATGTTAAAATTGCACTCTGGCATACTCACTAAACATTTTATGACACTTCAGAATTAACAAAAGATCTTTCACATAAGCAACTGCATTTTTCTCTTGGGTGTTTAATAATGATTTTCTTACTGAGGAAAGCATGGCTAACAACCCGGAACATAATAATATTCCATAAAAAAATCATAATTTGTAAACTTCTAGTTGATGCCAGTTCATAAGAAAGAACTGATTGAAAGGATATGGAAATACTGTATTGCTCGTTATGAGCAATTTAACTGAATCCTCTAGCTGTCCCTTTATAATCTAATTTTATGACTTTTATCAGTAATGACAATTCTACTGATGCACTGGACCGTCAAATTCATGTAAAATAAAACCTTTTACCTGGTTGCGATGCAACAAGCATGACGCTGTGTGGACTATGATGTCCCAGAGCTGGGACAAGGGCTCTGAACAGATCCACATTTCTCTGCACCACGTCAAGGTAGGACTGGGCACTACCCAGAGAGTTAGCTGTGAAGATGACCACCTTGGAATGAGCAGAGGCAGACAAATCTAATGAATAAAAAGAAACAGTCTGAGCTCCAGATACAGGTTTTAATCAAGTTTGTGTTCATGACAATGAGGTGTTTCTTTTCTCCAAGTAGAGAGCTTTTAGGCGCACTTGCCCTCAGATCAGTTCTATCTCCACAGGAAGTATACAAAGTGCTGAAGTTTGCCACCAGAAAGAGGACTAAGAGCCCCAGTGAATCCCAAGGCAGGGAAAGAGAACAATACAGATTAGCCAAGTAAATTACAGGATCCAGAACCCACAGACAAGGAATTAACGTTTCTACGTAATTCACAATTCACAGCACTCTCTCTCGCTCTCTGCTCTTTAGAAATATCTGCCCTCAGTGTCTTCATTCAACCTGAGCCTCAAATGGGGCCCTGCGGGGCAGCAGTCAGACTCAATGATTTCTAGGGTGGCCTGCATGACTTCTACTTTTCCAGAGTGAAAAGACAACAACAACAACAACAAAAAGCCGCATCTCTTGACATGGACTCTTAGGAAACACACAGAAATTTCAAATATCATAGGAATAAGAAACATAAACTGAATTTTGCCTTGGTGCCATTCAGCTACAAAGACCACTGTGGGAGAGTGTCTCAGAGTCGCCATGATCATCAAAAGTGACTGACTCCCCCTGAAACCTTCCGGGTAACAAGAGGAGAAGGGGAAGGGCTGTGGAGATGTGCAACAGGGAGCATCATGGGGGAATAGCTCCATGCCTATGTGACTTTTCCTGCTGTTTCAGTTAGTGATGGTCACTGGAATGATCAATCCTGCCCAGCTCTGTGCTCTTACGAATCGAGACCATATGAAAGATTTCTGAAGACGGAGTGCTTCAAAGACCTTGGCATCTGTTCTTTTGAAGGTCACAAGCAAGTTTTGTTGTTGCTATTAATGAATTTGTTAGGGAGCCACAAAGCTACTGAAATCACTTATTTACCCAATTGGACTACTTTTAAGGATGTTCAGTGTGTATCATTATTATAAAATTTCGGAGCAAAAAAAAGTCTCCAATGGTAAGTTTTATGTTATATGCATTTTAGCACAATTTTTTTAAAAGGAAGGATAAAAATATTGGGTTGTCGGAAAAGTCATGATGTAGTTTTTCTATATTTTCTATGCAAAAATATGTCATGACTTTTCCAACGACCCAATATTAAGTGCATAAAACAAGTAGAGAACTGGTTTCCCTAGCCTGACTCCTGAAACAACTACTCTTAACAATTCCTCGGTATTTCTCCAGATTTAGTCTATGCATATACAAGCATAACTGTTTATGTATGCATATATAGGCTATTTGCATGTTCATATGTACATATGTATATCCCTCCCCCAAATGTTTTAGTAGCTACTTAAAAAACATCCAATGGAGCAAAGCACAACCCTTGGATGACCAGTCAGCTGCAATCATCAATGCCTGTCCTGATGGGGCATCACTAAAATTTCCAAGTGAGCTTAATTTCCCCAAATTACTAATGCACTTCACCATATCCTAGAATATATTTATGAGGTGTTAGTTAACATTATATTTATAATTACTTCATGTAATAGTAACTTGTTATCAGGAATGCACGGCCAAAATTAACAAGGGGAGCCTGAAACGTGCCCCGTGATAGTGGGCACTCAGTCAACATTCCCTCCTCTGTGAAAAGCCCCATGCCCTGTATGTCTACTCCACGGATTCTATTCTTTCAATTATCTGAAACAATGATTATTGATGGTTAATGAGACACATAGGAAGAAACAATTTCCTCAGGTCCTAAATGGCCTCACAACCTCTAGGGTCCCTGTACTAAACAGTCCCCTAATGTCATTTGCAAGAGTTAAGAGGTCCCTTAAGAACTTCAGTACATGGAAATGACAGACACAAGGGAATAACCAGCTCCCCCTGGGATCCTCTATTCGAAGCCTATCAAAGGATCATTAAAGTAACGACTGCACTCTTTTCTGAAGACAGAAAATGAATTCATTCTATCCTACAGGGATCCAGAGGCTTGCTGTAACTATTACACCCAACTTTTACAACACAGAGGTATAACTTCACCTTTTCTGACCCACTGTTGTTCTTGGTACATTTAGGCTTGTGAAAAATTATGTCTCAACATTTTATTTGGAAAATATGGTCAAGGAATACAGGGGACTGAAGTAAGGAAAGGCAAAGAAAAGCCAAACAACTACAACATGTTATAAACTGACTTTCGCGATCACCTGGTTTTGGAAGGTTAGAGTAGACATTTTCTAATTCAATGGTCTTCCAATTTTTTTGATCATGCATCCCTGGTAATAAAATATTTTTTTAAGTGCACGTCCCCAAATATAGTATTTACCTACATGTAGGCATATGCCTGTACTAATTTATTACGTACATTATAAAATATATATAAAAATTTTTAATTAAAAATTACTTTTTTAACATTTAAATTTTTGTTTATTAATGACATAAAAACACTTTTTGTTCTTATTAAAACTTATTTTAACAATATAGGGCCGGCCGAGTGGCTCAGTTGGTTAAGAGCACACTCAAGAGTGAGAGCTCTGAGCAACAGGGTCACCGGTTCAATTCATGGCCCTAGTTGAGTTGCTGCTGAGCTGCCAACAGGTGGCAGGATGGCTCAGCTAAAAAAAACCCAAAAAAACAAAAAACAAAAAAACTAATGTATTTTTTTCCCAGACAAGGAAAAACTAAAGGAGTTCAGCAACACTAAACCATATTACAAGAAATGTTAAAGGGATTTCTTTAAGGAGAAAAAAAGATAAAAAATATTGTGGATGGGAAAGGGGCCACACGTTAAACCTGACAAGCTCAGGAGCCTGAAAATAACCACATACGATGGTGTGAACATAAAAGTTCCTAACTAAGGTGGGCCTGGATGGAAGTCACATCTAGCCTGTGGTTTCCTTGACAAAGGTCAATCTTTACCTTAAGTGAGCCTGTCTATAGTCTTTTTGCATCTAAGATAACATACCCTTGGAATGTCAGTGATCCTTTTTTCTGGACCAGAGCAGGAAACTACAGAATCCCTCAGTATTATTCTTGTTCCCCTGATTACCACCTTTATGTGCTATAAAAAGTGAACTATTAACTATCCCTGTACCCACCTATGTGAAGAAAGTACCTGTTTCTCCAATTTACTTTTATCCAATCCCAGAGATTCCCTCCCGCCTTTGCTTTCTCCCACCCCCTGCTTTCTCCCACCCCCTTAATCTACCACCAGTGGATTTCATGCCTTCCTTCTTTGATTCTACTTATAAAATAAGATGCAAATCACCATTTTGCAGAGCATTTTCTCAATTCTTTGAGATTTTGCTTCCCGGCAATTGTCATCAGTTTGGCTCAAATAAACTCTTACAAGCTTTTCCTTAGGCTGGACGTTTTTTCGATGACATTCCCACTTTACAGATGATAAAACTGAACTTTGAGAGATTATATAATCTAACATATGTCAGAGCTATAATGTGGCAGTGCTAGGATGCACACCCCCATCTGTCTAACTCTAAAACCAGTGTTCTTAACAATTATGAAAAAGCAAGCACTCAGCGAAAACAAATTTGTACTAAAGTGTACGCAAGAGATGGAGAACAAATCCTTCTCATCAATCTGATAATCAACTTCAGTCTCTGTATGACTCTGGGTAACCAGTCACTTAACTTATTTGAATCTTGGGGGATTTGGACTAGGCGCTTTAGCATTACAATCTAGGACTCTAGGCAGAGCACAGGGGGTTTTTAGGGCAGTGAAAGAACTCTATGATACGATAACGATGGACACATGTCATTATAGATTTGTCCACATCCATAGGATGTACAACGCCAAGAGTAAATCCTAATGTGAACCATGAACTTTGTATAATAATGATGTGTCCAGGTAGGCTCATCAATTGCATCACTCAGGTAGGAGATGTTGACAATGGGGGAGGCTATACATGTGTCGAAGCAGGGGGTATATGGGAAATCTCTGTACATTCTGCTCATTATTGCTCTGAACCTATAACTGCTTTAAAAAATAAAGTCTATTTAAAAAATTTGAGGACTTAAATACAAGCGCAAACAAGGTGTCCATCTTTTAAGCAGAATAACCAGACCTTTGCTGATCTCCACATTGGGAAGGCTGAAGATATCAAGGTCCATCATCCCTCCTTTAGTCCCTTCCGAGAGGTCTAGGAGGACCAGTCTGTCTGCAATGCCCTGTATAGTACCATAAGAAAAAGAACAACATTACACTGGACATGGCCGGTTACTCAAGTTTAATTCATTCAGAAGTGAGGGCTAAGGGAGAATACACAGGCCTCATGTGCTGTCATATGTAGCAAAAGTAACACAATAGCAATAAAAGTGACATGCAAGCAAGAACTTATTATGACTTTGAATAATGTGATCCTTTAGGCTTGACTGAAAACTGCGATCTAACAGGGCTTAAATCAGAAGTCACAGGCTGCAGGTTTCTTTTTTCTTTTTTTTTTTTAGCTGAGCCATCCTGCCACCTGTTGGCAGCTCAGCAGCAGCGCAGCTCAGGCCGAGACTGGAAGCTCTGTTGCTCAGAGCTCGCACTCTTGAGTGAGCTCTTAACCAACTGAGCCATTCGACCAGCCCTAGATTTCTTTTGATGGAAGGAGTAATAAAGATGATTTGGTGCACTCAATATGTTTGCTATTGTTGTTGAGCTTATGTTTTCATTTTTATGTCCTAATTAACATTCTGAAAGAATTCAGAGTGACTTTTTGGGTCTATTTTAGCATCAAAGTCAACACTAATGCCAAGTTTCTTGTAAAAAAAAAAAAGAAGGCTAATAACCATAAATCTAAAATGAAACCCTATTATCATGCAGTACTCTCCCCAGAGAGCTCACAGAAAATATCTGCACGTGCCTGTAGGTGGCCCTCTGGGTGCCATGGCGGGCTGACTATAAATGACAGCATGGAACGCCTAAAAGTCAGTTTACCTTTGTGGAAAGTCTTTCCAAAGTCGTAAGGGATCTGAGGATGTCTCCTACCTTAGAGTGCAGGGGCAAGAGTACCCAGAGATCTACCAGGCTACCAGGTAGAAAGTATAGAAGTCAATAAAACAACCCAGCTTTCCTACTTACAACTGTGTCATGCTGGGCAAGTCACTGAGCCTGGCCTTCCTTCATGGGTTGTGAGGATTAATTATGTGACACAGGGCTGGCAGAGAGCAGTCCTCTCTAAATTGTACCTAATAATCTTATTATTGTTAACCACGCTAGTAAGAGAAATGCGAAGAAAACTATGCGTTACCATTTTTCATCTATCAGACATGCAAAGATCCAAAAGTTTAACAACAGTAAAACACAGGTATTTTCATACATTGTGGGTATGAGAATAAACTGGTATAATTGATATGGGAGATAATTTGATAATTTCTATCAAAACTTTAAAATACAGTAGTAACTCCTTTAACCCACCAATCTCATTTATAGAAATTATCCTACAAGTTTATTAGTACATGTGTTTAATGATATATGTATACAGATATTCAAAAGACTACCAACAATCTAAATGTCCACCAACAACATCAATAATAATGAGGCAGCATAACACAGTGGTTTGGAGCAGAGCGTCTCAAGCTTTCAGGGATCACATTTAATAGATCAATGAAGCACATGGATCACCAGGGATTTTGTTAAAACACAGACTCTATAAATAGATTGCCTAGCTTCAAATCCTGGCTGCGTTTCTTAGCAGTGTGACTTTGGGCAAGTTGGGTACCTCCCTATGCCTTGGTTTCTGCATTTGTAAAATGGCAGTAATGATGGTATCTAAGCCACAGAGTTGCTATAAAAGCAAGTGCCTGGCACTTGGTAAGCAATCAGTAAAAGTTAGTTACTGCTGGCACCACCACTACTACTACATACCACTGGCATTGTTATGACTACTATTGTATTATTTGAATGTTGTAACTTGTATGAAAATGTTAATGTTTAAAAAAGAAAAATGGAAAAACGTTTTCCATCTAGATAGTTCACAAAGAAGTACTGATAGTGAGATTCTTGAGCAGTTAAAGCAACATGACTTTAAAGGGCCTTCCTGTACTTAACAAAAACGAAGAAAACTGATAAAAATCAGTTCTGTTAAGGATCTCAAAAATCAGGTTGATGTGCCCTTTTCTATTAATAGGATAAATTAGTGCTTTCTGAAGAACAATCTAACAATATGTAATAAGTGCCATAAAAACCATTCGTGCCCTCTGACTCCCTAGTACTATTTTTGAGATTATGTACACCTAAAAGAAAACTCAGATGAGATAATAAGCAACTTGTAAAGCAATGTTTACAGAAGTATTCTGTTTAGTAACAAAGAAACTGAAAACAATTCCAATTCCAATTAAGAGAGAAGAGTATATTCAGATGGAAGGTGGAGTAAATGAAACTATGTCAAAAGTTAGTTTATTGTTCTGAGCAGCCAGTTTTTAAAACTTTCTAGCTCCCTGGATACAATTTAATTATTTGCAGAAGTCCAATCTACCTCCAAGACATACGTGAGTCTTAAAGAAATTAAATAATAAGGAAAGGGAAGAATTTAGATGGCAAACAATCAAATTTTAATAGAAAAGAAAACCAAATGCCAGCTACCAAATAAACATATAGAGGACAGCTATTCTATTCTGGGCTATACCCCTCAAATGACAGAGACATGCTGTTACCAGGATAGTGGGCCCTAAAGGGTCTTTTGAACTGCTCTAGAAGGGGATTCAAATGCCTTTCTGAAAATAATTTATATAGAAAAAAATCCAGTAAAAAGGACTGATGAAAAATAAACAAATCTCAAACTAGTAAAATGTCAACTCAGGAATTATGGTCCTAAAAGAAAGTACACACAAGAAAAGGCAATCTTAACAAAAATGCTAACTTTAGAAAGCTAAAATTATTAAATAAGAGTTTAATTAAAGCAGCATGACAGGAAACAAAAGAGTTTGTGACTAAGACAGATGAATGTCAAATTGACGTTTCCCTTGAATTAGGATGATGAGCTCATTGTTCAAACCACTTTCTCAAAGTCTATTCCAGGACTAGCTACTAATTAAGAGGCAGCATCTCTGATGAGAGCTTTCAACTATCTTTTTTGTCAGCTAACTATAGTAAAAGCAAAATGAGGTTTTCCTACATAATGAAATTAAGCCATTACTTCTTGTATGTGAAATATAAATTACCTAAAAGTGTTACAATATGACATGTACTTATAACCACTAAGCTCACATACCTTTGCTGAAATTGCTAATGTGCAGGCAACTCCCAGTTCTCCACCTCCAACCACAGTAATTTTATTAACTGTTTTATTCTCATGATTTGCCCAGCTCTTTGAATTTATGTCTGAGACACCTAGAAAGAAACGTGAAAGATCATGAGAACTTAAAAATAACATCAAAAATCTTTTCAGCATCTTTAAAAAATATATATATACCAAGCTTCAATAACTTGGACAGAGAACACGGTGCTGGTTCATAATTCGCACTCAAAAATACTTGTTGAACAAATGAACTGCAAGAAAGACAGGAATCTCACATTAAATATTATACTAAAGAGCGGCTACTCTTTTAAACAGAAAATACCTTTTCAAACATTTAAAAAATATTATATAAGACTGTTACCGTAGGCAGAATGAGCCGGGCCACAGGGAAAGGAGGAGGAGGAAGTGCAGAGACAAAGGAAAGAGAGGAGATGGGATTGTTTTTAAGAAAAGGTGCAGCTACAGCGAACTGTAATAGACGTAATCCTACCAGCATTGCGGGAAGGGAAAAATCTCCACCCCGTGTCACCATGATAGTTCCAACAAGGGCCAAGTAAGAACAAGGGAATCCCACCTCCCCAGAGGAAGGAGGGGTCAGCAAGGACAGCAGGCACCGGCCCTGGGAACGCCTGGGACTCCACCCCCAAAACTTGAATAGTTTGCGTCCTCATTCAAATAAAATCCTAAGCCTCTCTGTTCTTCAGCACAGTTGCCCTCCTCCTGGCCTGCCCACCCCTGTCATTTTGGGAGTGTATTCTTTTTCTTTACTTTAATAAACCCTCTGATTGCTTGGCTTTGTCTGTGTTGCTTATTCGGTATGTCCTCGAATTCCTTCCTGTGATGTTTACCAAGAACCCCCATTCGGTAACAAGACTAAAAAAATAGGATTTCCATAACTCTGAAAAACATTCTGATTCTTACCATTCTGGTCTAAAATGCAAAAAAATATATAGCACCTTACTAAATTTTGCAAGCATGGGTACTCTGCTTTATACTCAATGAGAAACACTGAGAACCAAAGATTTTCTGGTCCAATACATTGAAATGAGACAAAGTCACATAATCATATAATGAAAAAGATTTGGGACCTTTACTAGAATGGTTTTAAATAAAACATGAATTATTTTATCTGTCAGTATAAGTGTAATATTTTACATTTTAAGAAACCATATTTATTGGAACTGGTAATATTTCATAGATGTACAGGAATTCTTGATTCAACATATATATATATATATATATATATATATATATATGCATACATTTATAAAAATCAAGTAGCAGAGAGTAACGGCTATTAGTGAGAAATTATAAACTCATAACTCTGATTAACAAAAATACAAACCTTCAGTGATTTTTGCAATATAGGCTAACAAGTCCACCTGCCGTGCTTCATCAGATGATGACAGCGAATACAGGGGAAGTTCCTCTTGAAACTTGGAAATCATTTCTTTAATTAATCCAACAATGACAGATTTAGGCTGCAGAATACACACAAACGGAAGAGTTATGCAAAAAATCTGCAAACAAATACTAACTACCTTGTTAACATACACATCGTTATAGAGTTAACCAAAACAAAGTATTGCACTCTGCTCTCATTTTTTGACAACTACCAGAGAAATCATGTGATACCTTCAACAGCTTTAACATTTTTAACTGAAAAAATACTTAATTCTTTTAACTGAAAAATAAAGGGAGAAATGCTAAACACACATCTCCAAAAAGTGGGTAAATAGCAGGAATGTGCTTATTAGCAGAAGTACCTATGTTTGGGAATGATCTGTCTTTTTTTAACTTTTTATTTTAAAATAATTGCAGACTTACAGAAAAGTTGCAAAAAATAGTGCAAAGAATTTCCATATACTTTTTGCCCGGATCACCAAAATGTTAACTTTTTATCACATTTGCTTTCTTAGTCTCTTTCCCTCTATATATATTCTATATATTTTTCTGAACCAATTGAGAGTAAATTGCAGATATGACACCTCTTCACCCCTAAAATACTGAGAAATAGAGTGAAGAAATAAAATGGAGTCACTATAGTTAAGCTGCTTAATTACTAAAGTCAAATAGACTGAGGTATGAGGAAAGAATTCCATTCTTGTTTAAACTAGCCTGAGAATTTAACTTTTGAACTTTCTAGTCCTGTGTCAATTCCTAGATATATATTAAGCCTCCAGATAACCTCTGGTTACCCACCTGAAGGACTAAGGAAAGAATGTGCAATTATCCAGTCCACTTGACATCCATTATAAAGACTGCCCGACAACCATTACTCAGAGAACTAGTCAGCTAGAAGATTACCGTCTCAGAGCAATCCAGAAACTATGAATGCAGGCCTGATTCTTAAGAATGGACTTTTTACTGGAAAAAATCTTAGCTTTTCTGTCTTCATTGGAACACTCTGAGTATTGCTTAGCTGTGTTTCCTGTATGCAAACCCACTATGACCCCTGAGTAAATCTTAATCATTAATTTCTAGCCAAAGCCTCCAGATTCCTTTTGAGTCCGTCCAGTAATACTGTAGTGTATATTTCCAAAAAGACAAAAACAAAACTAAACACTCTCCTTTACAACCAATATCAAATCAGAAAATTAACCTTGATAAAATATTATCAATGTCTGGTACTGTTTCTTTTCACTTAACTGGTTAAGCAATCCTCGTGAAATTCACTTAATGTCACTGAGCTTCAGTGTTATCAGCAGTATAATGTGAATAATAAATCCCACGTGGCTATTACAAGAAACCAATGAGCTAATTAATGCATACAAACTATACACTGAGTGTAAAACAGATGGTTATTATTATTAGGAATATTTAGTAGTTTGTTGGGAGCCGTCTCAGGGTAGTGAGACTATAAGCTGACTGCAGGTGGAGAACGGCAGGGGGCTGCAGACCCCCAGGTTCTGTGTGCTGAAAAAAGCCTGCAAAACTGCATGTTGGGTGAACAGCAGAAGGTGAACTGCCGGAAAAACATGGAACCCAACAATGCCCAGTTCATCTCCTGTACCATGGAAAAGCAGACGTTCCTGAACTGAAACAACCAGACCCTCAGATGTCACTGTCTAATTATGGACTCATGAACTTTGCAACTTTCCACCATGAACTTGCTGACAGTTGCTATTTGCCTCAGTTTAACCTTACTTAAAATATAACATCAGTCTATGCTATGTAATCATGTAACTTGTTTCCAAGAGATTATCTCTCTTCCAAACCCTTACATCAGGAACATTGGTTCCTCATTCCCCAAAACCCCCTACTAAAATCCCTATGCTTAGCTAAGAAATTATTCCTGGCAAAAGAGGAACTTGCTCTCTATATAACCAGTACACACTTAATAAACGCTGTCACTCTCTGCCATCAGCAGTTAGTGAACCTCCTAATCCAACTTTGGTGTCTGTGCCATCTTTCTTTTCTCAATTCCTCGCGTCGATCAATCCTGCGATCAGGGACCGTTCGGTGGGTTCCTGGCCTGATCATCCAGGTGCCCCGGCTGTCGAGCCGGCTCTCGACAGTAGTTTGCTCATTTTAAACAGTTGTTAATTTCTCAGAGTCTGGGTATTTATAAATCACTATTACTATAAATTAAGAAGATGAGGCCATTAGGATAAAAAACTCTAACACCTTTAAAGATAAAACTGATAACATAATGTGTGACGTTGTCAAGGATAAAAAAATTTGGGGAGATGGTTATTGTGACAAATTGGAAACAATGCTCCTATAGGCATTCAAAACCAAACCAAACCATGGTGCTGTTCAAACAAAATTCTGTAGGCCTAATACAGCACACTGATTCTCTTGGGGGAAAATGTCTATAATCCTTGGCCTAGACAACCTCTAGATTCTTTCTAACTCCAAAATTCTATATAATTATACTACATAATTATAATTCCATCTGCATGTGGAACTTAAAGTTACTGTAGCACTTTTAAATAGGGCAATTTAAATAATGTAATGTCTTAAAACTAGTTTTAGCTTATAATAAAGAGGCTCAGAATAGTAACATGAAATCAATACTGTCTGAAATCAAGCACAGCCTCAACTAGATTATAGGACTATCTCTGAGTATTTATTAAACAAACAAACTATGAAAAGAAAGGACAAAGGAAACCAGAAAGAGAAAACGGGAAATATGAATTCCTACGGAAGGGCACAGATATCAGAATATTGTTTGAGGATAATTTTTAAAAAAGAAAAGGAAGTAAAAAAGAAGGGTAAAATGGATGGAGATAAGCAGACAATTCAAAAAAGAAACATACATGATAGATAAATACATGAAAAAGATTTCAATTTCTCAGTTAACCAAAGAACTAAAGATTAAAATTGAGACATCGTTTTTGTCTTTCCGATGGACAAATTTTTATCATGTCCCATTCATAACATTTAACTGACAATCTTATTTAAATCACCAAGTAACACAAACAATGTACAAGTTCATAAAATACAAGGTCAATACTTCCCCAGCTAAACTCCACTACTGACAATCTGGTGTGAATCCTTTCTTTTACTATTTCCTTTTTTTTTCTTCTTTTTAAAGGTTTTATATATGTGAAAAATATAGAAAACCATAAAAACAAAGTAAAATGTGTCCACAATTGTACATTTTTTTACAGAATTTATATAAAATAAGAAGCAGTAATCCTAACGCCATGATTTACTCCAACCTCACTTCACTCTGACATATAGATCCCTGTCCTCCTGTCCTACGACTTTCTGGGTACATATAAATATATTATAAATTATCCTCCCATAACAGTTTTAATTTCTTTTAAAAATGAGAGCATATTCTACAACCTCTAAGTAAATGTAAAGAGATAAGCAAAGGTTTGTTTTCTTTTAATGATAATACCCTGTTAGAGCAAGGGTGCTCTAAAACAGGTACTCAGCTACACTGATTTCTGGTAATGGTAGATGTGCAACAGTTCCTCTACCGTTTGGAGGCCAATTTGGCAATATATAAGAATAGTCTTCAAAACATTTACAACCTTTCTATTCCTAGAGATTTATCAATGCTCGATATAATGGTAGATGAAAAATGCAGAATACAAAATTGCATAACGTGAGGATCTGTAAAATGGTTACATACATCAATGTGGGCAAATTTAAAAAAATTAATACTCAGTTGAAACAAAGCACATAACAGAAGATTATATACAGTGTGATTCAATTTACATAAAGGTCAAAGACAGGCAGAACTACAAATAAATACATATATTACGTAAGAATCTTTAATAGGGAGGGACTAGGAAATAATGCCCAATATCTTACTAGTAATAGTAGCTTTTCATTATCAAGCAGCAAACAACTGTAAAAAGACAGGGAGCAAACAGCACTTGGCTCCTAGGCCCGGAGAAGGCAGCTTCAGGCAGGTTGCTATCACCAGGGCTCTGGGACTTGGGTGACTCCCAGGGGGCTGAATTTCAAATTACTTTTAAAGACCATATGAACAATATCATTGAAAGAAAATTCAGCAACTTATTTATTACTTTGGTCCATTAGGATCAAAGATAAATATTCAGAAAAATAAGAACTTTTAAAAGAAAATCCAAATTGATCTTACATGGCTCCAGTTTTGGAGGTAGGGCAAGTATATTCTGCCTTGAGCATCCACATGTTTTCCAACTGAGATTCCCATGTTTGCAGTTGGCTTTAAGAAGCAAATGGGGGGAGCAAAAGGGTGAGAATCCAAAATCCACAAACGAATTGGTATGTTATATGTATTACCTATTTGAGACAAAACAAACACACTTCAAACAATAATAAAGCATACACATTTATTTATGGTATAACTAGGTGGCATTTTAAGTCATGTAGTCGAGTTTATATATAAAGGATTTATGGAAATCGAGGCCTATTTTCCCCATTTCATCTACATTCACATTGAAAATATGTTCCCATTAAAGCACCAGTATAACATTAGAGGAAATTTAATTAAGACAATGGCCAGCTCATCCAATTCAACTCAATAAATACAGAGGGTGCCAAAAAATGTATATACATTTTAAGAAAGGAAAACTGTATTAAAATTGTAATATTCAATTTATATCGATAACAAAAGATGAATAAAAAAAAGTCACGTTTGACTTCTGCAATTACAAGAGGTGCTCAAAGCAGTTACCATCCGCGTCCAGACACTTCTAATTACTGCTTGAGCAACGATGACCAAAGTGTCCACTTGTATACACTTTTTTGGCGCCCCCAGTATTTACAGGACCTACTGTGTCAAGATTTTGAGATACACCATCTTCACTATGGAATCTTCTTTGCTCCACCCAGGCAGAGCTATTGTACCTTTCTTGAACAGCAGAAAACACTTCTATTTTTATATTTCTTCTGCACTGAAGTGATTTGCTTACAGATCTGTTTCTCCTTTTACACTGTAAACAACGTCCTAAGAGAGGATTATATATTACATTTCTATATGCTCTGTACCAAGTATAGTGCTTAACATACAGGCTGCTCAATAAAAGTTTTATATAAATAAGAATGACTGAGTTAATACACAAATGAAAAAATAAATGAATGAGTAAAGATGAATTTGATACTGGCCCTCAAGTTGCTCACTCATTGTAGGTACAAGCTACATAACGTACAAGCTAGGTTGGATACAGAGAACTTAGAGCTGAAAATAACCATAATAGTTACCTTGTCCAGTGGTTTTAATTAGTGTACTGAGATAGGAACTTGCATGTACTCATATGCTCTTCTGATTGTAACCATGTATGTCATGCCTACCCAGAGTCAAAATCTGACTGCCTTTGTTGCCAGGAAGCCCAAAGCTAAACCTAATATGAGTGCAAAAACTAACCTTAAACTAGAAATCTGACTGATATACCTTAGCTGTTTTATTGTATCTCCTGATATTTATTCCTGCTTTCAAAGTCTTATTGAATTTGTCTTTCACTGTTCTTAAGAACATGGCCGCTCAGAGCAAGAATGCCTAGGTTCAAATACTAGTTCCACACATTACTAGCTGTATGATCTCAGGCAACTGACTGAACTTCTCTGTGTCTCAATTCTTCCCTCTGTAATTATAGCTCCTACCTCATAAGGTTGTTGTAAGGATGTCATTAGCTAACATACCTAGATATGACATGGTAAGTACCATGACACGAAGTATTGGCAAGTTTTGCAACTTACCTCAAATCCATTTTGGAAATAGGCTAGGTATAAATAAAAATAGTTTTCTTTTCCACTGCAACCCTTGTCTTACTAAGGAAAGCCTCCTTCCACTGAAAGCTTTTCTTCATCTTGTTTACTCCTCCCCTAAGCACAATGATACTCAGCCCTTTCTGCAAGTTAGAAACATTTAAGGGACTTCAAAACATACCAATATCCAGGCAACTCCCTCAAATTTTTTGATTTATTGGGATGAAGTCTGGACATCATTTTTAAAAAGCTTCCCACGTAATTCTAACGCGCAGCTAAGATTGAAAATCAGTACATTACAGAAATGTCCTTATACCTGGGGGGGGCGGTCTACTATTTTATATCAGCAGATCTCAAAACAATACTCATCATCAACTTTTGTCTAACTATTAAAAAAATTTTTATTGAGGTATGGCACAATAAATCTAGTTAACATCTGTCAACATACATAGTGTCTAAGTATTTACAATATAGGTATAGATAGGCATAGCTGTTGGTCTATAGATAACTCCATTATAAAGTCATGCGATCATAGCACCACAAAGTGACCGACAGCTACATCACATTCTTCCAGATGTTTCTCCATCTAATGTTACATACTCTAGCCCAGTGTTTTTCAAACGGTCACAAAAATGGGTCACCAAAATAACATAGGAGGCTGCAAACTATATATTTTAAAATGGAATTAATAGAAAATAGAATGTATGACAATATGGTATTTCAGTTATATACATGTGTGTATATATATACACACACACATATATATCAGCTATGCATATAATAAAAGCATTTCTTACTGTAGGGTCACAGTCAAAACATTTGAAAGCCACTATTCTATGCCATGAAAATTTTTTTAATAATATAGCTGGAGTGGCAGTTCAAATCCCGACAGAGCCACTTTCTGTGTTAATCACTAGACATTAAAGAAAAGGAAAGAAATGTCTATTAACGGTATCTTCCCAGTGATCTGCTACTTCCATCAATATCCCTTCTCAGCAGTATTCATGCATTTTAATTGCCTATGCCCGGCAAAGCACCTGGTAAGCCTGATTCCTGTGTCTCGTTGGTAAGATTTCACTACTCGTTGGTAAGATTTCACTACTATTCTCTTCTTCCTTCCTTCTTTCCCATTCTTTCCTGTCAGCTATTGCCCTATCTCCTACCCTGCCCATTTATCTTTCAGTAATTCATTAACCAGAGTCAGAACTCCTGGTAGAGTCCTCAGATTTAAAATAATTATATCATAAGAATATACGTTAGCTATAAAGTTTCTAATGGCCACGCGTGAAGAAAAAGTGTCATCGTGACCTTGATACAATCTTGGAGGGATGATACAAAATAGTCCCAAAAATCTCCGCAGGTAAAAACATAAGGAAGCATCAACAGAAGATTCATATGGGGAATAGGACTGAATGGGAGGTTAGATGTATACTTAACCTCATCCTTTCTCAATTGTTTAAAGTTTTTTAGCATGAGCATGTATTATTATAGTTATTATATTAACAAAAGTAATAGCTAAAAGAAAGTAATATAGGCAGACAAATAATAATGGCCAACATTTATTAAGAACTCACCATGTGCCAGGGACTATGCCAAGAGCTTTACTTATAGTAATCACTCAATTCTCACAATTCTAGAGTTTGGCTCTATAATTGGTCCATTTTATAGACAAAAAAGATAATACATTCTGACCTCCTGATCAGCAGGAAATAACTAGTGTGCACCACACTGAGCTGATATAATTCTAGTCAAAAGCAAAGAAAAAAAGGGTACTGCCAAGAAGGTATTGCAGGTACCATTACTACCTTGAAATACCCCGCATAAGAATCAATGACATAATTCCATGGCTCTAGGAGAGACAGAGTGCCAGTGAGGGGCATCTTACCGATGGTATCAAAAAAATTTTTATGCCCTCCTGTTACCTCCCTCCACTGTCCTAGAAACAGAAATGCCACTAAGCAATGATTCATTCAAAGTCATAAGCTCCTCTGTTAATACACAACTGCCCTTGAAAGTACTGGGATAAGAATTGTGAAATCAATCAATCAGTCATTGGGATGGGTAAGAATTCTCCTTCTCTCTCCCTCTCCCTCTCCCTCTCTCTCTGTCTCT